AGAAAACTGGAGCCATATCTGTCACCCAGCACAAAAACGAATTCCAAATGGATCAAAGATCTCAAGGCAAACCTGAAAGACTGAAACTGCTCGAAGAAAACACAGGCAAGACAAGATGTAGTGCAGGAAAGGACTTTCTGAACAGGACTCCATTTGCTTCAAGAGTGAATGCTGACAGCTGGCAAATGGGACCTCATGAAACTAAAGTCTGTACAGCAAGGAAACACGTGAAGAGGAAGCCCACAGAGTAGGAGAGAATCTTTGCCAACTTTATATCTAATAGAAGATTAATATCCAGAATTTATAAAGAGCTAAAACAAAACAAAAACAAAGAATCAAGAAACAAGCGATGGGGGGCTGGAGAGATGGCTCAGAGGGTAAGAGCACTAGCTGCTCTTCCAGAGGACCTGAGTTCAATTCCTAGTATCCACATAGTGGTTCTATGTCCTCTTCTGGCATGCAGGCATACATGGAGGCAGAATGTTGTATACATAACAAATAAATCTTTAAAAAGAAAGAAAGAAAAGAAACAAGTGGTAGGCTGCAGAGATGGCTCAGCGGTTATGAGTATTTGCTGTTGTTCCAGAGGACCCACACACACACACTTTAAAAAAAATAAGGTCTGAGGATTTGGCTCAGTGGTAGAGTTCTCAGCTCAAAACAAAATAAAAATAAGTAGTTTTTAAAAGAAATAATCCAATTTTAAAATGGACTACAGGTCTGAATGGAAATCAAAAGAATTGGCTAAGAAATTTCTCAAAAGGTGTTCAACATCCTTAGCAATTAGGGAAATATAAATTAAAGCTACTTTGAGATCTTATCCTACCACAGTCAGAATGACTAAGATCAGTAAGACAACTGGCAATTAATGCCGGAGAAGATGTGGGGAAGGGAACCATCCTGAACTATTGGTGGAAGCTGGTGTGGAGAATTCTCAGAAAGCTAAAAACCAGTCTACCATACGGCATGAGCACTCAACATCGTATTCCACAGGTAGGAGCTCATTGCCAAGTTACTCAGCAGCTAGGAAACAGGGCCAACCTTGTCCTTCTACTGATGAATGGGTAATGAAAATGTAGGAAATAAACACAGTGGAATAGTGTTCAACTGTAAAGAAAAATTAAACCATGACATTTGCAAGTAAATGGATGGAATTTGAAAATGTTAAGCCAGGCATTAATCCCAGCACTCAGGAAGTAGAGGCAGGAAGATCTCTGAGTTCAAGGCCAGCCAGGTGGAACAGAGTTCTAGGACAGCCATGGTTACATAAAGAGACCTTGTCTCACAAAGTTATTTTAGTAACCCAGACCCAGGAAAACAAACACTGCAAGTTTTTATATCTGAGTATATAACCAGGAGTCATCACAGAAAACAAGAAAAGACCATTGGGGAAGAGAGAAGGAACTCCAGAAAGGGGACTAATAGGACATAGGCACTATGGAGGGGAATGCCAGCCTGGGGGCGGAATTGGGGGGGCAGGAGTTGGCAATGCAGAAAGGGGGGATAAATAACACTAAGCTATTTCATGGGGAAATAAATCGGTTTATGTTTACTTATGAGCAATATTAAATGGACTCAGAAGGCTATTAGTATGTGTGTGTGTGTGTGTGTGTGTGTGTGTGTGTGTGTGTGTGTGTGTGTGTAACAATAATTAAGAGATCACAAATTTTCCAGGCCGTAGTATGCACTTTTAATCCCAGAACTTGGGAAGCAGAGGCAGGTGAATCTCTGAGTTCAAGGCCAGCCTGGTCTACAGAGCAAGTTCCAGGACAGCCAGAATTACACAGAGAAACCCTGGAGAGAGAGGGGGGGACAGAGACACAGAGAGAGAGACAGACAGACAGAGAGAGAGAGAGAGAGAGAGAGAGAGAGAGAGAGAGAGAGAGAGAGAGAGAGAGTAGACATGGGAAGTTGGAGCAAAAGAAAGGAGGATATGATGCATAAAATCCTCAAATTTTCAAAAAGTTTTTTAAAGGATTTGTTTTTTTTTTCCAAAAAAAAAAAGCTAGAAGACATCTCCAAAGTGATACAAATTTCATCTAAATAATAAGTTCCAGGCCAACCAGGAGTACATAGTAAGACTCTGCCACAAAACAAAGCGACACAAAAGCTGGATAATGTCAATATTTTATCTAAAAAGTAAAACTAAAAGCTGAACATTTAATTGGGATAACATAATTCTACATATACTAATATGCTAGCAGAATAGCAATTTCATTTCATAAAGACGGTAGCTCTTAGAGTTCCTTTTAGTGTTCTAGCTTGTGAGCTACATAATACCTCTACAAGAAATGATGGGGGCTGTTACTCCAAAAGCCAGTTCTTAAAGTAGTCACTGGAAGGGGATACTAAATGAAGAGGCCTCCTGCCTCCTAACAAAGGCTCTGTTTGTCTGTCCTGCTCTATCCTCTGAGTTACTTCAACAAGATGGGCAGATGGCTGGTCAAGGAAGAACAGACATTTCAGAAGGACACCTGACAGCCGTGCTAGCTTTGAGGGGTGATGAGTGGAATTGAGAGTCACTACTTCTGATCCTCCTGCCTCCGCCTCCCAAAGGGGTCTCAGGGGCTGGAACACAGGGCTTCTTGTATGCTAGGCAGACTCTCTTCCAACCGAGCTACACCCCTAGCTCGTCAGCCTATGGCATAATGTTATAAGAACATGAGCTGAGACCCCTGATACCTGACTCCTAATGCTCCCAGAATAAAGGAGGGCAGCCCCTGGTCCAGCGCCACAGAGACCTGTACTCATCTCTTCTGCATCGTGGTAAGCCTAAAGTAATCCTACAGCAAAATTCACCTTTTCTGTTTGCTTGGACTACATACACCAGGATTTTACTTGTATTCAAGTTAATTTCTCAACAACTAGATCCCTCGAAACATTTGCTTTAAATGATGCATTTTAAAGGGGGGGTAGGCAGTGGTGGTGAAGCAGGTCTTTACTCCCAGCACTCGGGAGGTCAGCCTAACCTACAGAGCGAGTCCCAGGACAGCCAGGACTACACAGAGAAACCCTGTATGGGGGGGGGGTATGCATTTGAATTAAACTCTATACATTTAGTCTTTAGATTATATAAACATATCTAGTGTGTACGTATGCAGAACCTGAGGAGTCCAAAACGGCATCAGCTATCACGGAGCTGTGGTTACAGACAGTTGTCAGCCACCTGACATGGGTGTTGGGTGTTGGAACTGAACTGAAGGGCAGCAGACATTCTCAACACTAAGCTACCCCTCCAGGCCTGTAAAGTCTTCGCTTGAACTTATTTAGTAGCATGTTATAGGAACTAAGAAGAAAAGAGAGCAGCTCCTAACCGCCACTCTCCCGGTGGATGGGAGGACAGCCTCTCTCAGGAAGGCTCCCAAAACAGCTGACTCGGGTTTATGCTGTGGGTCTCCATCTCTGCCATCTGCATCTCTGGGTAGAGCCCAGGAATGTTTACATCATAATGCTACCCAAGTCATCTTGATACGCACTGAAGATTGACAGCTACCACCGAGGAAAGCCTGGAAACAGCTCACTCCGTGAGAAAGCTAGGCTATACCTGAGCAGCGGACACGAGCTTCCCAGACTTGAATTCTCCCGATCCAAACTGGTTAAGGAAGCAACACACAGGCTTTGAACAGGGGCTGTTTGCACCGGACTGGGTTCAAAGTACTTTTGTTTCTCTTCTTTTCATGGTCTCCTGCCCCTCATTCCCTCCCCCAACACAGTTACTTAAAGTCTAAATAGATAAATAAATAAATGATGAACACAAGGCAGGTAGCTAGTTCCCATATCCAAACCCAGCGGCAGGCACGCTGTTGGCGTGCCGCAGTATGAAGTGAATTAAAATGTCTCCTCGCCAGGAGTATCGCTCCATACAAGGAGAGTGCACCTGTAGACGGGAAGAAACTCGAGATTCCAGCACACAGGAAAAGAACCCCAAGTCAAGCCGTGGTCCTCATGCTCCTCCGCCAACTGATCCCTCTTGGAAAGCTGACACTGCCACCTGTGTGGTCACGGAAGGTGGTGCTCTCAGAAGCAACAATGCTGCCTCCTCGGCTTCCCTGCTTCACATCTCGTCTGTACTAAACATGTACAGACACTATTTGCTTTTTTGTTTGTTTGTTTGTTTTGTTTTGTTTTTCGAGACAGGGATTCTCTGTATTGCTTTGGAGCCCATCCTGGCACTCACTCTGTCTCGAACTCACAGAGATCCACCTGCCTCTGCCTCCCGAGTGCTGGGATTAAAGGCGTGTGCCACCAATGCCCGGCGACATTATTTGCTTTAACAGTGAAGGATTCATCTGTGGTCACAAAAATATTTGCTTAATGAGAAATATTTATCTGAGTAGCATTTGGCGTCCATTATTATTGCTATTATATAATGTCTCCCAAAAGCTGTGTCATGCATGTGTTTAAATGCTTTGCATTGAAATAGTCTCATCTTCAGAACCACTTATACAAATGTGCTATTACTCATCTCTATTTGAAATAATCTCATCTTCAGAACCACCTATGCAAATGTGCTATTACTCATCTCTATTTGAAACAGTCTCACCTTCAGAACCACCTATGCAAATGTGCTGTTACTCATCTCTATGTTAGAATGTGGGAGGCACAGGAAAGATAAGCTCCCAGAGTTAGGAGCCACTTTGTGCCCAAGATAACAAGCAGAGCAGAACCCTCTGGCCTCAGGACTCAGTTCAAATTGTGATCTTTTCTGTCCATTGCCAAGGACCCTGGCAATGGGGCCTGTCACATAAATAGTCCCATGTTCATAGGGAGAATGTTACAGGTGATTGAGAACCAAGACTCCATCCCCACAATGCCGGGGAGAGAAACCTGGCCTCAGTTTGCTCACAAGGGACAGGCTGGGTGTTTTACTCCCCTCTTTCCCTGGTAGGCTCTTCCCTGACACAGAAGAAATAGGTAGAAAAGAATTTTAAAAGGCAACAATGCAAGACAAAGTAGCACCCACTCAGGTTATGTCTCCCTGCACACCCCTTCTTGGGTACCTGGGATATAAACGGTGCGACCATCGCTCCAATGCGGCACAGGGAACCGCTGGTTCCCATCCCCAGAGCACGCATCGGAGTAGGGTAGACCTGCAGAGGAGAGGCATAGAGAACACCCATTAGTGACCATCTTCCCGCCCTAGTTCAGGCTTCTGTATTTGTAGGATACAGGATGGATTTCAGGGCAGAAGATGCTCATTGTCTTTGGTATACAGGTTTGACTTTTAAGAAGTTAGTTATTGATTTCTTGAGTGCGTGGACACGCAGGCATGTCATGATACATGGGTAGAGTTGGTTCTGTCCTTGCATGTGAATCTCAGGGATTCAACTCCGATTGTCACGTTGGGCAGCCAAGTGCCTTCCCTCAATGAACCGTCTCACCAGCCCCATGGCGGTTAATTGTGATATCAACGTATTTGACTTGAGAGCTGCTTAAGTCAGTAAAGGGCAGAAAGATGAGACCTGCCCTAATCAATCATTTAATCCACTAATGAACTCAACATTTACATAGACTCTTGGGAGGAAGAACTTCAGAAGCCTGGTCAGAAGGAGTGGTCACTGGGCATGTGCTTTTGAGGGTGTATCTTAGCCCAGGTCCCTTCTGGTTACTCCTCTATGCCTTCTGGCTGCTATGTGGTGGCCAGCTTTTCTCTCCCAAACCCTTCGACCATGGTGTCTCTGCTACAGACCAAAGGGTCAAGCAGCCAGTCATGGACCAGAACTGAAGCTGAACTAGAACGGGTCTTCCCTTCCCTAAATTAGCTCAGGCTTTTGTCATGGAGACCAGTTAGACCAACAACCTGATTTCATTTGAAAGGAAGGAGGCCCTCTCCTTCAGAGACTGGAGTTCAATAGACTGACTGGAAAAGGGAAAAATCCATATCAAGCTCCTCATATCATTTTCACAGAATTTCGCAGTTTAAGAAACTTGGCAAAGGTTAACAGAAGCCGGGGATGCATTAACCCCAGCCTGGAAGCTCACCTGGCGTGCCCTGAAGGAGCCACGCCACCGCCAGTGCTCACCTCAGCGGTATAAATGTAGATGGTGTTGAAGTTTGCTGCCACCAGAGCCCTCAGCATGAAGAGGAAGCCAATGAGGCCGGCACTAAGGAGGAAACAGGGGGAGTTGTAACGGGAGACACAGGCCTTCCCTGAGACATAGCCTCACAAAGCTGAGAGTCTCAACAGGCGCCGCTTCTCACCTGGCCTAAGTGATGCCCTAAAGCCAGTTTCCTCTCAGTCCGGAATTTAAGGGGCTGCTCAGTCCTGATGCTCCCTGATGAGTACATCTTGGAAAAGGTATTTTGTGAGTATGATTGCTGTGCCTGCATGTATGTATGTGTACCATGTGTGTGACTGGGAGGTCAGGATAGGACATCAGATCCCTTTAGAACTAGAATTCAGGTGGTTTCGAAACACCCTGAGGGCGCTGGCAACCCAACCTGGATCCTCTGTAAGAGCAACAAATGCTCTCATCTGCCAAGCCATCTCTCTAGCCTCCTGATACGTTCTTTAAATCACTAGATTGCCTGCAATCCCTGGTAAAATGTAAATGCCATGTGTAAACAGTCATCTGCTACGGTTTAAGGAGCAGTGACATGCAGAGAACACGAGACTGTGTGCTGCCCACGCCCAGCTGACACATCTACAACACAATTCCCACAAAGGCTCCTTGTGGAAGAAGGGTCAGAAAGATTGCAGGGAGTTTGCTGTGAGAGTATGTCTCCTAGAAATGTCAGGGAGGCTACGCACATGACGTCTCATCATCATGGCAGCCTGAACAAGACCTGAACAATGACACCCATGGACACACTAGCATGGAAGGAAGCTCACGGGGCTTCATCAGCCCTACACAAAGGACCACCAGCAACTGGGGAATACTGAGAGCAGCAGAAATGGTCTTTCCTAAGAAAAAGCCCTCCCCCCAGTTAGTCAGTATTCAATGCCAAATGGTCGACCCTGTGATCATAAACACACAGGTGATAGTATGCAGACTAAGCAGGCTGTATTTAAGTACTTAGGAAAGTGTGTGTGTGTGTACACATGTGTGTGTATAACAACAATGAGAGAAAAAAAGGCCATGGAGTTAAAAGAGAGCAAGGGGGCACATGGGAAAGATTTGAGGAAGGAAAATGGGGGAGGGGGATGATCTACTTATAATTTCAAAAAATTAAAAAAATATATATATATAATAAAAGAGAAACATCCACAAATCTAAGAGAGAACAAGGACAGGCTGTCTTAGGGTTTCTGTTGCTGTGATGAAACATCATGACCAAAAGCAACATGGGGCTGGGTGTTGGTGGTGGCGCATGCCTTTAATCCCAGCACTCGGCAGGCAGAGGCAGGTGGATCTCTGTGAGTTTGAGACCAGACTGGTCTAACAGAGCAAGTTCCAGGACAGGCTCCAAAACAATACAGGGAAACCCTGTCTCAAAAAAAAAAAAAAAACTAAAAAAAAAAACACAGCAACATGGGGAAATGGGAAGAAAAGGCTTGTTTGGCCTGTACCTCCACCTTGCTGTTCATCGCTGAAGGCAGTCAGGACAGGAACTCAAGCAGAGCAGAGTGCAGGAGCTGATGTAGAGACAATGGAGGGGTGCTGCTCTCTGGCTTGCTCCCCTGGCTTGCTCAGCCTGCTTTCTTATAGAACTCAAGACCACTCATCCTGGGGTGGCTCCACCCACAATGGGCTGGGCCCTCGCCCACCAATCACTAATTAGGAAAATGCCCTGCAGCCAGATCTTATGGACAGCATTTTCTCAACTGAGGTTCCCTCTATGCAGCTGACCCTAGCCTGTGTTCAGTTGACATAAAACTAGGCAGCACAAGGCTCTACGCATCTATAAGATGTAGTTCGTTTTCATTGTCTGGGGTGAAGCTCTTTTTAAAATTCCAAGCTATGGTTGGTTGGCCTGTCTGTGTACCACTCACAAGAGACAACCATATCATTGCTCAGAGCACTGTAGGATTGCAAATTTGGAGTGATATTAGTTATCTGGGGCAAGCACTCTACCACGGAACGGTTTTTCCAGCCTTCAGATACATGTTGTCTAAGTCACCGAACTAGCTCACGTTGGTTCAGATAATTTGGTTTAAAAAAAAAAAACGAGGGCTGTTTTCCAGTTCTCCAAGAAGCTTTGTGTAAGGTGAGCATCCCAGTTCTGTACCCACATCCCATAATAGCTGAAGGAGGCAGGCAGAGGAGAGAGAAGGGCCTTTTAACACACAGCCCGTTCTCAATGCTGCCCTGCGAGATGATGTTTCAGACTCCACGGATCCCCGGAGCCAGGAATCCCCGTTGGCTAGGCACCGCATATCACTTGTGTAGAAGTAGCCGCAGAGTAAGTACCTTGAGGTGCAGATGTTGAGGAGAAGAAAAAACAAAGCTGTGCATCCCATGGTGATGGACAGGCTCAGTCGTCTGCCCAGGAAATTGATGCCCAGGATATTTAAAGGGTTCACTAGGAAACAAGCAAGAAGCACAAGAGGTGACACCTTGGAGCAAACGTGGTACCCACAGACACCGACGGGACCCATCCTGGCATCCCATAAGGAAGCAGCTCCCGTCCGGAACCTAGGTGCACTATCAGGGAATCTGTGACTTCTTCCTTATGGGCCCATGAGTGACTAATGCCAGTTATACATAAAGTCCCTTTTCCTTCTTTTTAGTTTTTGATACAGGCTCTCTCTACACAGTCCTGACTGTTCTAGAACTCACTCTGTAGACCAGGCTGGCCTCAAACTCACAGAGATCCACCTGCCTCTACCTCCCAAGCGCTGGGATTAAAGGTGTGTGCTGCCACACCTCGCTTTATTTTATTTTGTTTTATTTTATTGCTTACTCTACTACTTTGTAAGCTACCAGTTTGCTAGAACTAAATACCATATACCATTGTCCACTGAATTCAAGGTTCCACTGATTTTTTTTTTGAGAGAGAGTCTCACTATGTAGGTTTGTGCCACCACATTTGGCCCTGGGCGTTTGACTCTTTCTATTTATTTGAGACAGGATCTCATATATCCCTGGCCTCATGTTCACTAAGATGACCTTGAATTTCTGATCCTCTTACATCCAATCCCCAAGCACTGGGATCATAAGCACACACCACACCACTACACACAGTTCATAAAGCCCCGGGGATTCTGTGCGTGTAGGTAGGCGAGCATTCTAACAACTTGACTACATCCCCAATCACACTGGCTTTTAAAAAAATGGTCCATTTTTGTTGGAGAGGGGACCAAAAACAGTGCTATCAATTTAAATCTAACAAGTCCTTGTAAAATTATGCATCTTGACATCCTGCTCCAAGGTTTATCCAGGTAAATGGATGGAACGAGGAAAGATCATATTGGGTGAGGCAACCCAGACCCAGAAGGGCAAACGTGTTCTCTCTCATCTGATGCTCCTAGCTCCAAATCACCAGATGTGAGTCTATAACCTGAAGCAACTGCAGAAGCCAAGAAAGTGAAAAGGAACTATTGGAGGGGGGAACAAGAGAGGGAATTGCAAGTGATCTGAAGGGGATGAGAAAATGGGGGGCTCGTGGGGGACGCAGGCTAGAGAGATGACTCAGCAGTTAAGAGCACTTGCTGCTTTTGCAGAGGACGGCCTGGATTCTGCTCCCAGCACCCATCCACATGGTGTCTCACAACCATCCCCAACCCCAGCTGCAGGGGATCGGACGCCCTCTTCTGACCTGTGAGGGCACCAGGCATGCACATGGTGCACGCACACACACAGGCAGGCAGGATATTCATACACATAAAATAAATATCTAAAAACACACATTAAAGTGAAATAATTAGGGAGGGAATAGTAAACACAGGATGAGGGGAGAGGTCCAAAAAACAGTAAGAACATCTGAAAAAAAAGTCATAAAAACATACTATTATCTATCTACCTAAAAAAACCTGCAATACATGTAAGTTAGTACACAATATGCATACATAGTTTAAGTGAAATTTCTCCATTTGGGCTGACAATGCTCCCCCAAGAGCCATAGACTATCTAACACCAGGCACGAGAAGCCCTCTTTTGAGTTGTTGGTCAGGATCCTACAAGAGACTATCAAATCGCACAAAAGAGATCAGATCATACAAAACTAGATGGAACAAAACATTATAGGCTACATTGCTGCCCTCGGTTGTCTCCCAGCTGTGGGAGGTACGTCCTTATCGTAAAAAGTTTTTTAAAGGCCATGAATTTGAGTGTGGGAATTTGGGTGAGGAAAGGGAATTATATTATAATCTTAAAAACAGACGTATCTTTTCATTTGAGATAGGGTCTCACTATAGATGTAGTCCTGGCTGGCCTAGAACTCACTGTAGACCAGGCTGGCCTAGAATTCACAGAGATCTACCTGCCTCTGCTACCCGAGCACTGGGATTAAAGGGGTGTGGCCACCACCCCAGACTGAAAATGTATTTGGAATTGATGAAATGGAACAGTTTAAAGCTTTGCTCTTTCTGGCCCTCCTCCCCACGACAACCCAAACTGGAGGTGCAGCAGCGTGACCTGAAGACCCATACTAGGCAGGAGCCTCATCTCGGGGTCACACTTCTCTTTGCAGGAACCCCAAGGCGCATGGGCATTCTTACAAGCAATTTCCCCGAGTGTGCTGATGATCATGGTCCTATAGTCTGAGGGTGCAAACAGGTGGCAATAGCAGGGACTTAGGCTCCCCTCTGTGTCCCCGGTGGTCACCTCCACCTCTGGTTCCGACCCCGACTTCGAACCACAGACCAGATCCCGCTCCAGCAACTCAGCGCTGGCCAGGATAACCCCGTAGTAAGCAAAAGAAATTCCCAACCTGGAAGTGAAAAGAGAACAGTGTCAGCACTCGGGAGGCAGAGGCAGGCGGATCTCTGTGAGTTCGAGGCCAGCCTGGTCTACAGAGTGAGTTCCAGGACAGCCAGAGCTACACAGAGAAACCCTGTCTCAAAAAGCCAAAAAATAAGAATTAAAAAAAAGAATATCATTAGCAAAAGCTTTCACCAGGCTTGGGGGACAGGAAGAACCATGACAGGTAGGGATAAGGAGGAGAGTGGTCTGTGTGGAAGGCACAAAGCAAGAGAAACAGAATCCAGGACCCAACACAGCATCCAGGCATCTGAAGACAGCATTAGAGAAACAGATGGATGGATGGATGGATGGGTGGGTGGTAGATGGATGGATAGATACAGATATAGATATAGATATAGATGCATTTCGATATGAATGGATAAATAGATATAGAGATGCATTTCTGTTGGACATAAACTTTGGAATAAAATGACTGACTTCTAAGATATATATATATATACTATATATATGCATATATATTATATATACTAATAGATACCCTTAGAGAGGTTTCCAACTGGAAACAGACAGTTGTGTGTGGAATGTTATAGTTACTTTGTATCCTTGGTGCAGGCAGTCATTTTAAAAGTTTATTTATTTTTATTTTATTTGCATTTTGCCTGCATGCATATATGTACACCATGTGTGTGCAGTGCCCATGGAGGCAAGAAGAGGGTTTGGATCCTCTGGAGCTCGAGTTAAATGGTTGTGAGCCACCATGTGGGTGCTGGGAACTGAGCTGGGGTCCTCTGAAAGAGCGACCAGTGTCTTTACTGGTGAGCTATGTCTCCAGCCCTGTGGTCTTTTTCCAGTGTAACTGTTCTTATACGTCGCTGGGTTTATAAGAACTCGCAGGGATTTAATTTGCATCTCCTTGGTGACTTTATGGTTGAACATGTTTTGACATGTGCTTCAGACTCAGTTTGGGTGACATGCCTGTCCAAGCCTTTGTCCATTTTAAACTCAGTTGTCAGGGCTGGAGAGATGGCTCAGTTGTTAACAGGATTTGCTACTCTTCCAAATGGGCCAGACTCGCGTTCCCAGCACCCAGGTTGGAGGGCTCACAGCCACCCACAACTCTAACTCCACGAGACCTGACACCCACCTTCTGGCCTCTTCAGTCAACCACTCGCATGTGAAGCACAGAAAAACACACACGTACACATATACTTTAAAAATAATAAATCATAAATGTAATTAACTAAGCTAACTGTTGAGAGACAATTACATATATAGCATGTGTTTTATATGTATATTATATACTGCATTATATATATCAAAAATGTGATATATGTGTGTACATATATATGTATATATTTCAAATTTCTTCTCTTAGTTGATAGCTTGCCATTAAGGCTTCTCCTGATAGTATATGGCACAGAGACACTAATTCTTGTCTGAGGCAGGGTTTTGTGTAGCCTAGGCTGGCTTCATACTGGTAGCAGTAGATGACCTTGACTCGTGGACCCCCTACCTCGCTTCCCAAGGGCTGACATTTCAGGAATGTGCCACCAAGCCCAGCTCCGGCGATGCTAATTTAATGCAGTAAAAGTCCTCAGCCCTTCACTGTACATTAAGCACTTTTTTTTCAGTCGTACTTTGGAACCCTTCACTCACTCGAGGGAGTGAGGCAAAGACATGAAGGCTGTGCCACCGAGTCCGTCATTGGTGACTTCAAAGAATCAGTCCCTGCCGGAGGGTACACAGAAAGCCCAGACCACAAAAGGCAGGAAGTGACGTGTAGAGTCAGGGAAGAGCTGGAAAACTGTTGTAGAATATAAAGGTTTCCTTTCTCATTTTACAATTTCACCACTTGGGGGAGGGTGGGTGGTATTAGAAAGATAAGACATTGTGGGAGGAAATATTTGACAACTCCCTTGTGTGTTTCTCTCTAATATCCCTGAGAGCCATTTACAGTGGTCCCTCTTTATCCGTAGAAGAACCATTCTAAGAGCCCCAGATCATGCTACGCCTTACATGTAAGTTCCTATACAGACTTAACAAAACAAAACAATTTACAATACACCATAAACGTTACATGTAAATGCGCCCTCTCTGTTGAGGAAGTCAAGACAAATCTGATTTGGGACTTTGGTTGACAATGGATAACGGAGATCACGAGAGGCAAAGTAAAAAATACAGTGTATTTGTAGGACCACTCTGCTTGCTGGATTTCCCTCTAACACCTGTTTACTTAACTTTGGCCTTGCAGGAGTTGCGTTCTTACCATATGATCCAGATCTGTAATGTGGTCCGGAGATACTTAGAGTCCAGTAGGTCTGCAAATCTTCCTCTCTTCTCCTAGGAGAATGAAAAGGCGGGGACAGAGTACACACGGAGGGATGAGGACATGTGTCTCTGAGAGTCTTGATCAAGAGTTACACAAGGAGTACGGTGTGGTGATGTCACCCTTGTGCAGCTCAGTTATGAAGCAACACCCCCACCCCCGGATCCAGAGGCTGATGCGTTAAAACCCAGGACCTAGGGGCTGAAGGACAACTCCTTGGTTATGAGTACTGGCTGCTCTTGCAGACCAGTTAGATCCTGGCACCCACAGGGCAACTCACAACCATTTCTAACTCCAGTCCCAGGGCCTCCAACATCCTCTTTTGGCCTCTAGGGGCCACTGCATGCATATGAAACCAGACAGATGGAAGCAAAACACCCAAACACAAAATATTTTTTAAAAATGGCCCTGGCTGGCAGATCCAGTCACTGAGAATTGACTCGATCACGAGCGCTCCGCTCGGCTGATAGATTAACCCACAGAAGTATTCACAGTTGGAGGGCATTTTGGACACTGATGAAAACCTTCAGAGGTGGGGCCCCTGTGTCCCTGACCCGCTTTATCACAGTTTGCCTCTCAGCCGCCACCAGGTGGGCAGTTCTGCTCCCACACGCCCTTCTGCCAAGATGCTTGGCCTCACAGGCCCAAAACACTGGAGCCACAGGCTGCTGACTGTAACCTCTGAGACAGAGTCAGATGCAACTTTCCCCTTCTTAAGTTATGCCAATGTCTTTGTTACTGTTCTCCTGATGTAACAAAACATCATGTAACAAAACATCATGTAACAAAACACCAGGCGGCTTGCAGAAGGAAGCTTTTCATTGGGCTGATGGGTTCAGAGGGTTAGGATTCAATGACCCTTTGACGTCAGTCCAAATGCCTGGACTCATTCCAGTGTGGCCCGTCCTTAGTGCTTGCTCTCTTAGCGCCTTCAGGGTGAAGTTGCTGTAACTGTGCTGCCCACGGCACCAAGGGTAAGCCTCCTTCCTGGCTCAGCCCTCTTTGTGCCGGCCCCCGTACACGCCCACCTCCATCTCGACTCCATCTCTCGTCTGCAGGGGTCTTTCCTCCGCTGAGACGCCTTCTCCTCACGCCCTATGGTGATGGCTCAGGCAGCAGCGGCTCAGCTACCCCTGCTCCTGCATGCACTGCGGACACAGGCGCCAGCTCTGCAACCAATGCTTCGTGTGTGCCCAGCTTACTGTGATTTAAATACGCTTCCTTTACTCTGGTCTAAAGAGTGGCCCCTTGAACCAAACCTCTATTTCCCTATATCCAAGGATTTTAATTTCTAAAAAAAATAAAAAGGGGGTTTGTGGGGAGCTAGAACTACAACTCAGACTTTAAGAGTGAGAGTCACTCTTCCGGAAGAAGTGCAGTTTGATTCCCGGCACCATGTCGGGTGGTTCGCACCTGCCTGTAACTCTAGCTCCAAGAGATCCAACACCTTTTTTATATTCACTGGCACCTGCACATCACACACACACACACACACACACACACACACCTTTAAAAAACAAAAGAGGGGCTATTAAGATGTCACAGCAGGTAAAGGCGCTTGCTGTCAAACCTGATGAGTTCAATTTCCAGAACCCATAAAGTGGAAGAGTTGTTCTCTGACTTACACATGTGTGCTGTGGCACGCACATCTACACCCACATAAACATATACATAAATAGATGCTATACAAATACTTCAAGCAATAAAGCTAATCCATTAACAAAATATGTGAGCCATATACTAATGAACAATGAGATGCCCCCAAACAGGCGGTGGTGGCGCACACCTTTAACCCCAGAACTTGGGAGGCAGAGCAGGCAGATCTCTGAGTTGGAGGCCAGCCTGGTCTATAGAGTGAGTTCCAGGACAGCCAGGGCTATAAAGAGAAACCCTAGCTTGAAACAAAAACAAAACAAAACAAAACAAAAAGGTAGCCCCAAACACTGAAGAAAACTGGCAGGCTTTGTGGAAATAAGCTTATCAAAATGAGACAAAGCCAATAAAAAAAACAAGTAAAATGATTATTTAAAAGAAATCACATATTATAAGGTACAAAGGCAAATGGCGTGATTAACTCTGCAAGGTAAGAAGCATCATTTATGGTCTATAGAAGACAAAAATGAAGCCAGGTGATTTACAAGCATTACATGGCAGAGAGGAGCTAACTTAAGCCCCACCTCTGCTCTTTCTAGACCATCACTCTGCCTCCGGAGGCCTGTCCAGGGGGCCCTGGTCCCCTTCCTTCTGGACTCACCAGGATGGGCTCCACCAGCTGCCCCTCGGGCATGACTGAGCGGTTCATCTTGGCAATGCTCTCTAGGGTATCCAGCGCAGCCCGCGTGTTTCCAGTGGAGACGTTGAAACGAGCAGACTCCGGGATAAACTGGGCACAGATTACAAAGAACATCAGAGCTGCAGGTACCATAGACTGCAAAGGTGGGGTTGTGACTACTTCACACCTTACTCAGTCCTGACTGCCTCCCACACCCAGGAGGGGTGGAGAGCTTAAAGACACACACATCAGACATTCTGATGAATTCAATGCTGACTTGGAAATTTGCTTCTAGGGAGGAAAATCTAGGGAACATGAGACTCTGGACTAAAACCAAGGGACCAACTTTAGATATTTGAATAGTATAGATTTTTACAGATATATCAGTTATACAATGGCAGGTGTTGGATTCTGAGCTTGAGAGCAACTCATATATAACAAATTCCAGGCTGCACTTGAACCTAGGCCTTAAGAACACCCAATGATGGTTTGCAGTTGGCTCAAAAGGTGATGAAGTCTTAGCCTACAACCACAGAGACAGGGGTCTTCCCACAGGCAGCAACAGGCCTGAGCACCTGGGGGGTCTGGTTATGGTGTGTGTGTGTGTGTGTGTGTGTGTGTGTGTCACGGGGGGGGGTTGCACACTGGAGATTGAACCCGAGGCAGGTGCACGTGGGGGCAGCCAGAGATGGGGGAGGGGTGATTCTGAGCAACAACTGACAGCAATGATCCTATGAGCTGTACAGGGGAGAGCCAGGAGCCTGGCTGTGGGCCCAGCCAGGGGACAGATGTGGAGGCATGATACTGCTTAGTGTGGAGGAGTAAAGGCTTGGGAGATTATGTTTTCTTTAAAAAATGCTTTAAAGCCAAGCACTGGTGGTGCACGCCTTTAATCCCAGTCAGCACTCAGGAGGCAGAAGCAGGCGGATCTCTGAGTTTGAGACCAGCCTGGTCTAGAGCAAGAGTTCTGTGACAGCCAGAGCTACACGGAAGACAGATCTCCATGACCTAGTCATAGGCTTTCTAAAGCTGGGAGTGTTCCTGTGGGGACCCAAATTGGGTTGAGGTGTGGAATAAATGAGCACTCAGGAGCCTCCTCTTCCGCTATTCTCTCCCTCTCCTCTCCCTTCCCTCTCCTTTTCTTATTCTCCTCCCCTCCCTTCCCTTCCTTTTTCCCAGGTACCCCAGGATGGCCTCAAATCACTATGTAGCTGAGGATGACCTTGAACTTCTGACCTTTCTGCCTGTCTCCTGAGGATTACAGCAAGCATGGGTTTCCGGTTTATGCTGTGCTAACCCAGAGCAGCATCAAGTATGCTGGGCAAGCACTTGACCGAGTTACATACATCCCCACAACTGAATGTTACTACAATGCCAGAGGATCGTACTCTAACATGCACATCACACACACACACACACACACACATTAAGAACAAAATAAATCTTTTTTTAAGGGGGGCTAACATAGATACATTTGTGGGGAAAGAGGTCAGTGGTCCAGCAGAAAGGGAGCGTTGAGGCAGTTTCAAAAGCATCACCTTGAAGGCCATGATGAGGATGATGCCAGGGATGGAGGCGACACGGATGAGCCAGCGCCACCCAATGGTGGGGATGAGCACGGAGGCCAGGCTGATGATGAGCAGGGAGCCAGCAAGCCAGAAAACCTGGGGAGAGAGACCTGAAGCATGACAACTCCTTCATGTCTCCCTTCTCTGGAGCCTTGGAGCCCATCCTTTTGTGTCGCGTGGGCAAGGTGGGAGTTGGGAGGAGTGACTGCCGGGTTCTACTCCCAGGACAGCGCCTCTGATCCGGTGAGTCACTCTGCTTCATGGTTCAGCTTGTGTCTGTACACCGTTTGTTCTGCCTCAGTACAGAGAACCCAGCAGCAGTAACAACAGAGTTTAAAACAGAAACCCAGAACTGCCCTAGAGGTCTTCAATGCGGATGTTTTCTTACACAGACAATACAATGCCCCCACCATAAGGAGGCGCAAGAGGGGCAGGGAATGCTCTCACCTCCCAGTCCTCTGCCGTCAGTTTCCTTTCTCAGAGGGGCTGACAAGCTTACTGTCTGCCTCCAAAGCTCCTTTAGACAGTTTTCAAAGACAGCCCGTAGCAGATGTGATGATGCTTCACACTTTTGGTTTTTATGCCTACAGATCTGATAGCAAGTGACATGACCCTGGCAGTCAAGAATCATTAATACATGCAGGGTGGGGTGGCACCCCTTTAATCTGCGCACTCAAGAGGATCTCTGTGGGTTCAAGGCCAGCCTCATCTACAAAGTGAGTTCTAGGACAGCCAGGACTGTTACACAGATAAACCCTGTCTCAAGAAACATAACAAAAAATATAATTATGAATAGAGCATCCCCCATTCCATCCCCTATTAGCCCAAACACTCCAACTCTTCTAAGATAAAGAATAACGTTCAATCCATCTCAGATGGAAAGAGGGCAGCATTTTAGAAGATCCTCTGCAGAGCTAATTTACGGATTATATTTGTTATTTTATGTGTTATGAGTGTTTTGCCGCATATACGTTTGTATACCACATCTGGTGCCCAAGGAGCCAGTGGGTGTCAGATCCCCTGGAACTGGAGTCACAGATGACTGTAAGCTGCCGTGTGGGTGCTGGGAACTGAACCCGTAGATCAGCCAATGCTCTTAACCACGGAGCCATCTCTCCAGCCCCAAGGGATGATTATCTCATCAAGGATAATTACGCAAAAATAGATTATCTAAGACAATGATAGGGCTATAGAGGAAATAGAGCCATGTATGAGGATTGGCCTGAGTGACAAGGGACAACTTTTCTAATGAGTCAATAGGTATAGCCATTGATGTGGCACTGGGAGGGATCTCAATAGGAACAGAGCAAAAGGTTTTTTAAATGCCCTTGTCACCATTTTTGAAGGTAAAGGTGACAAGGTTTACTGGTGGACATTTGCACTGTGGGTCCATGAACTGGGGATGTGGGGCCATCACAGCCTGGCAACTGAGTAGGGGGAGGGGCAGGGGGAGTCCACTGTGGCTCCTGCGTACAAGCTTAGCTGGCAGAAGGTGAGCTGCTTGCTATGACCTGAGATAGAAACATGGAGATCAGAGCTCCCCGGGGAGGGTGGAGAGGTGAGTTCTAGAAGGTTGCATCGAGGACCCTCTAAGATATTCTAGTGACTCTCAGATAAATGACTACCTGGCTTCTCCATTCAGGAAGGTATTCTTGTTTTTTTTTTTTAATACGTGTTTTCAGAGATGGAAAGAACACACAGGTTGAGCTGCCCATCTGCAGGATTCACACCCATGAATTCACAGCCATGGTTTCAGCCAGCTGGGTATGGAGGATATTTGAAACAAAAGGAGTCTGTCCCAGTCAACTATATACCTACAAATCATTGATTAGGTGACTCAGTTCTTGATGATTTAAAGCACACAGGATCTAGGGGGTACATCTGGTGCCCAAGGAGGCCAGTAGGTGTGAGATCCCCTGGAACTGGAGTTACAGATGGTTGTATACACAAACCTGAAATATGACATCATTTTCTATAAGGAACTTGAGCCTCCAGAGATTTTTGTATCCTCTGTTATCTGAGAGCCAATCCCCCCATGGATACAAAGGGATGACCATATGTATAAAGGCAGCCAATGGAGTTGACTATATGACCCAAGGAGACACAGACAAGGAGGGGGCATGTGAAGAAGCCTGCATGAATCTGGACAGATGGAAGAGTAGAACACTGATCCCTCAGGGTTGAAGTATAAAGTCCAGACGCTGAAAACAAAACCTGGAGAGAATGGTCACTATCGGGTGTTTACAGTTCTTTTTTTTCTTGGGGGGAGGGGGGTCAGACGGGATTTCTCTGTGTAACAGTCCTGGCTGATCTAGAACTCACTTTGTAGACCAGGCTGGCTTGGAACTCACGGAGATACACCTGCCTCTGCCCCCCAAGTGCTGGGATTAAAGGCGTGCGCCACCACTGCCTTGCTTCTTTCTACATTCTGTGTAAAAATACAAATGTAAACGATCTCCTGTGTTATTTATTGCCAAACACATGAAAGTTTAGTGGTTAGGGTCATGGTTTCCCTGGACATTTCCTGTAGTTGGGGTCTGAGGGCATCAAAAACAGTCCAGGGGAGCCAGACTGACAAAGATTCTGGATGTAAAACCTCTAGCTAACAGCCAGTCAGGGTCGGAGGAGGGCCCTGGAGGAACGGCAGCTATCCAGACACAATCATGGCGCCTTTGCCAAGTGGGGACAGCGTGGACCTGGAGATACCAACATCCTTGGAAGAGAGATGGGGCACCCCCAAAGGTAGGAGCTGTCTCCCTTCTCTGAAGTCTCAGTGAGGTGAGAGAGGCCACTGAGATGCTGTCCCGGATGTCTGTCGTTCTAGTGACCCCTGGCTTCTGAGGAAGGTGATGCAGTGTCGTGAGCATCACAGCTGGGTAGTCCCCAGCTCAGAAAACCTTCATATTGGACCTGAGGCACCAGACCTGTTTCATGCTCATTAGTTGGTGCCAAAATAACAGTCAGAGCGCACTAGCCCAAAGTCCATCAGCTGGCTGGAAGGAAACCCCTGGGCCCCGTCCTTTCCGAGGCACTAGGCTCCACAGAGTTCCCACTTCCCCTTACCTGAGACAAGGGCAGCATGTAACCTCGGTATTTTGTGGGCAAAAATTCCGTCTTTATGATTAACCTGCATCGGGAATGGGGAAAGACAGTAATTCAGCTTTTAGAAAACCAAGCCAACTTCTCTTTGAGCAATCGCATATTTTCACCTCAGTGAAGACATCGTAAGCATAAAGGGAGGCTGGAGAGACGGCTCAGCACTTAAGAGCACTGGTGGCTCTTGCGTGGGTCCTGGGTTTGGTTCTCAGAACCCACACAGTACTCACAATCGTCCTTCGTTCCAGCTCCAGGGATGTGACATCCGTTTCTAACCTCTGTGAGCAGCAGCCACTCTCAGGGCACGTGTACACGTACACATGTGTGGCATGGCACTCACAGACATACAGCAAATCTAAAATCTCATTTGTTGCATACATCTCACTGTTGCATTTTTAGTTAAAATAGGAGCTCATTGCGTATCAGGCTGTAATTGTCATGGCGATTTTCCACATCAGAAAGCAGTGAGAGGTGAGCTGGCAACCATCCCCTCTGGTCACTTTGCTCTGACAGTCATTTTAAACTCGGTGTCACACTGGCCTTGTCGCTTCCGCCAAGAGAAGCTTTGGAAAGTGGCTTTGTCAAATCTAATCCCCAAGAAATCAAAATATTACACCCAAGGGAAGGCAAAGAACGGCCACTAACGACAGTCACAGCGCAGTTCCCAGAGACGCACAGTGACGTTGTGAATAGAAGACTAAACAGAGGGAGATCCCACCAGCTTCAGCAGACTATCCGGGGCTGGGAGATTCCACCGGTGTTAGCAGGTTAGCTGGGGCTGGGACTTCTTTCTTTTAGGTATTTATTGGGCTGCTTCTTGCAGACATTAAAGCTCTCTCAGCACCTGCTCCTGTCAGGCTCTCAGCTCAGAGAGAGACTTAACTAACCGCAGTCAGTCTTCAGCACACATTAGGACAGCGCCAGATGCTTTGACAGCTCTTAACTGATTGAAGGAGAGCATTGCCTCAAGGCACCCAGGAGAGCTGGCCCGAGGGGCTCTGAATTCCCTAACGGGAATGTTAACACAGAACTCTCACACCCAAACATAGAGACCCTGTGCATTTTCCTAGCAGCTGCAGACGGGCAGATGCACTAATTCTATTTCAGGACTCATTCTGCTTTGCAGATTCATTCTGGTGTGGTTTTTGTTTTTGTTTCTGTTTTTGTTTATTTATCCAAATATTTTTTCAATTTTACTTTCAAGCGTGTGTGTGTGTGTGTGTGTGTGTGTGTGTGTGTGTGTGTGTGTGTGTGTGTGTGTGTGTGTGTGTGTGTTGTTCCTGGGGAATCCACATCCACATTTCTCTCCCACAGACCCTCTGGAGCAAGACTTACCCTTGTGCATGGCCAGACACTCCACAGCCTACCATGGTCCTCAGAAAGACAAACCAGACGTAGGATGGGGAGAAAGAGGTCAGTAAGGAGAAGTAGGCTCCCCACAGGAATGACAGCAGCAGAATCTGAAGCAAGGACAGAGAGCTTGTTACCAGGGCCTACCTGCGGAGTGAGGGAGTCCCCGACACCTTCTGGAGTGGGTGCTCCCTCCGTCTGACCTCAGCTCCTCTGGGAACCTGGGCAGAAGCACCCACCACTCTCCCGCAGTCTTCACTGGCGCAGTCCAGGCCACTGTCCTGTCTCAACGTGGCTAGCGTGTCCACCCTGAGAGGTAACAGAAAGCAAAGCCCTGCCCTCCCTCCTCACAGGGCTGTTGGGAGCACAGGGAGGCCTTGTACTGGAAAGAGCAGAAGAAGCAACCTTAAAGCATGGCCTTTTCTTATCTACCAGAAAATTGAGGAGAGGTTTATGGTATGAACTAGAGTTCCCAGAAAAAGTCACAGCTACGCCGATGATTCTACAAAACTGGAGACTAGTGAAAACTGTGACTTCAGGAAGCTGGACTATTGCAGATCCAGAGCCAAATTATCTTAGCTCTCTGAATAGCCATTTTCCACCCACCTCTGTATCTGATCCAGCGTCCTGGTGATTATAATGTAAAACCTTTGGGTTGCATTAACTTAACGGAACACTAGCTTTCACTGCCTCCAAGCTAAGAATGTCATCAGACAGCATCTGGGCCCTATAGCAGAGATTACCCTGCTTCGTTTTATACCATCAACCAAGTCTAACATCCCCAGCCTGTGTACTTGATATTAACTAGCAAGACTAAGTTGGAATGTTGTCTTAGTTGGGGTTACTACTTCTGCGCTGAAACACCATGGCCAAAAGCTACACGGGGAACAAAGGGTTTATTCAGTTTACACTTCCGCAGTACTGATCATCATTGAAGGAAGTCAGAACAGGAACTGAACAGGGGAGGGACCTGGAGGCAGGAGCTGATGCAGAGGTCATGGAGGGTGCTGCTTACTGGACTGCTCTACCCTCTTGTAGAATTCAGGACCACCAGCCCCAGGGATTTCACCACCCACAGCGAGCTGGGTCCTCCTCATCAGTCACTAATTAAGAAAAATGCCCCACAGGCTTGCCTATAGCTGGATCTTGAGGAGGGGTTTTCTCCTCTATGATGGCTCCCCTCCTCTCTGATGGACTCTAGCTTGTGTCAAGTTACATAAAACTAGCCAGCATAAACGTGGCAGTTGCGGTAACCGGACTCTGTGTTTCTGTGAGCTGCTTGTGTTTGACTCCTGAGTAAGCTAAATCTTTATCCCCTTTGAGGTGAGAGGTTCGTGGAAGGGAAGGATTGGGAGAGTGCCCAAAAGAGTGGGGGGCGGGGGTAAATCCTACATGGCCTGACCTACCTTCCAACGGCCGTATCTATCAGCCAGGAGACCAAAGAGGATGCTGGATACCATGTAGCCAAAAAACACCATCTAGAGTGGGAGCGAAGACAGAGCTCTAAGCAGGACACGCCAGTAAGGTGCGCATTTAGCATTTACTTCGTTAAGCAGACAGCCATCCTGGCTGAAACCAGGCTGGAGACAGGCTTCCCGAAGCACTGCAGGGGGCCGGGAGTACAAGCAGGCTCCCGAGGTTGGTGTCTATACTTCTTGTACAAACGCACCTTACCCACATGGCCCAAGTGGAAACCAAGTCCACAGAGCAGGGAATTGTTTGCTTCTCCCATTCACTGGCCTCCTGCTGTGCTCAGCAGAAAACTGCGACTTTGTAATCTAAGATCTAGTCACGCCTGCTATGCCCTCTTCCTACACAAGCTGCTGTCACTAAACCCAGTCTTCCTTTGCATTATCACAAACACACACAAGCTTGAACACCCGAACCACTCTCTACCTAAAACCTTCTCAAGGCCTGGGGCCGGGGCTCGGTTGGTAGGATGTTTGCTTAGCATTCACAAAGCCCTGGGTCCCATCCCCAGATCCACATAAAAGCAGGCATTGTGGTTCGTGTCTGTAATCCCAGCACCGCAGAGGTGGCAGAAAGAGGGTCAGAAATCTAAGGTCATCCTTGGGCACATGGCATATTGGAGGCCAGCATGGGATACAGGGATGCAGGGACTCGTGGAGTCAGCCTGATGTAGCTGTCTCAAGAGGCATGAGTCAGGTTAGAGTTCATGCATAACTCCCCGGGCACTGTGTATCTTCCAGTTTCTGAGAAACAAGGTGCCCCCTCATGCAGTGGAGTACTTGGGCCACCTGTGTATCTCAGCATTCCCTTAAAGTCAGCAAAGCACAATTCATCTTAGAAATTAACCTTGGGTGCCTTGTATAGCTCGCAAACATTATTATATCCCGGCAACTACAACTGCATTCTCTTTCTTTTCTTATTTTCCAGACAGGGTTTCTCTATGTAGCCCTGGCTGCCCTGGAACTCACTTTGTAGACCAGGCCTGCTTCTGCCTCCCAAGTACTAGGATTAAAGGTGTGCACCACCACCACCCAGTGTATTCTGTTTCTGAAAGTGTATAAAGTCCGATTGCCCGCAATAAACTTGTCTCGGCCTTACTCTTGCTGAGACCTGCAACGCTGGCCTGGTTTTCATTCCCATCAACCAAAGCAGGAGACCCTGGTTTGGTAACTAAGCACTGGCACTTACACACGGAGACGCTGTCGCAATAAGCAAACAGAGTCTCTGCGCTACAAATCATAAGGAGAAGGCGCCTTGCTCTCTCCTCTCGTGTGGTTCCATGTGCGCCTGTGCAGCTAGCGTCTACTTCCCCGCCTTCCAGACATCCGCCTTTTCCCTAGGAACCCTCCAGGCTGGTGCCTCCGGGGAATCGGGCACCGGCGTCAGCTTCGCTTCCAGCGCGTCTCAGGGAAGATGCTGTTTCTCTCTGCTGCCTGTTTTGTTTTCTCTCCTGCCCCTCGTAAGAAAGACCCACAAGGAATCACTCAGAAGTCACCATGCGTGCACATTTGGACCGCAGAGCAAACCCAGGACCGTAGGCTCCCAGATATTCTCCTCTATAAATTGTTTTTTAAGTAGCATACAAGCTATATGCGATGGGTTTCATTATAGCATTTGCATGTACTTTCAAAAAGCACTCATGCGTAAGTGCGTTGTGCGTGTGGATGTCCAAGGAGCCCATGAGAGAAGAGCAGATGTCTGGAGCTGGAGTTACAGGTGGCTGTAGCTGCCCAACACAGGTTCTGGAATTCAAACTTCTTCTGCAAGAACAGTGGCTGTTCTTAACAGCTGAGTCATCTCTGCTTCCTGCTGGTCCCCTTTGTCCCTCCCTCCAGCTGTCAGGTCACACGCATTCCATTCCATCATCTTCATTTTTATCTTCCCTAGTACCCCTAAGGCCTTTCATGGTCCCCCCTTAGCTTCATGACATATATCTGCCATAAACACATATTTAAAATTACAATCTAGAGCAGCTGAGCAGCCAGCCTGAAGCTTCAGAGTGGCCCAGAAGCATTGACAGCAGCAGCTTCCAGAAACTATCTCAACACATGCCTCTGGGGAAGAGCACATGTGTCCCAGCCAGCATCCAGTGCTACTCTCTGTATGAGATACCCAGCTGCATCAGCAACCACCAGAGCCTCAGACCCAACTTCACATAGGGAGCAGTCACCAGAGCGGTGGCCCTGCCTACACCTGGAGGAACTATTACCAGAGCCATGGCCCTACCAGCATCTGGAGGAGCAACCACCTGAGCCTTGGACCTGTCTGCACCTGGAGGAGTGATCACCAGAGCCTCTGCCCTGCCTGCACCTGGAGGAGTGATCAAGAGAACCACAGCCCCCAGCTGCACCAATTGGAGGAAGGGAGACCCCCTGAAGCACAGGCTCCCCCTGTACTGACTGGAGGAAGAGATGGGCAGACAGCAGTGTAAGAATGCACTCAACAAAATAAAGAGCCATACGGCACCACCAGAGGCTAGCGATTCTACACCAGCAAGATCTGAACATCCCAACGCAGATGAAGCAGGGAAAAAAGACCTTAAAAATAACTTTATGAAGATGATTGAGGCCCTTAAAAAGGAAATGAAACATTCCCTTAAAGAAGTGGAGGAAAAGACAAGCAAAAAATTGGAAGAAATCAACAAATCCCTTCAAGAAAACCAAGAAAAAGCAATCAGACATGTGAAGGAAACCATTCAAGACTTACAAATAGAGGCAATAAAAAAAAAAAACAGGGAATTCTGGAAATGGAAAATCTGGATAAACGATCAGGAACTACAGATACAAGCATAAACAACAGAATACAAGAGATAGAAGAGAAAATCTCAGAAATTGAAGATAAGATAGAGGAAATAAATTCATCAGTCAAAGGCAATGTTAAATCCAACGAATTCTTAACACAAAATATCTAGGAAATCTGTGATACCATGAACAGACCAAACCTAAGAATAATAGGGATAGAAAGAAAAGAAATACAGCTCAAAGGCACAGAAAATATATTCAACAAAATCATAGAAGAAAACTTTCCCAACCTTAAGAAGGACATACCTATGAAAATACAAGAAGTTTACAGAACACCAAATAGACTGGACCAATTTTTTAAAATCCCCTTGCTACATAATAATCAAATCAATACAGAATAAAGAAGGGAGCAGCAAGAGAGCAAGGAGAGGAGGGCGTTAGGGCCAGCCGCCCCGCCATCCATGGAGTAAGAAGGAAAGATATATAGGAGCAAGAAGGATAAAAGCCCAGAGGGAAAAGATACACAGGATAATTTAAGATTAAAAAAGAAAAAAGAAAAAGCTGGCTAAAAACTAAGCCTCCAGCCGGGCATTGGTGACACACGCCTTTAATCCCAGCACTCGGGAGGCAGAAGCAGGCGGATCTCTGTGAGTTCGAGGCCAGGCTGGACCGATAGCCTCCGAAACAATACAGAGAAACCCTGTCTCGTAAAACCAAATAAATAAATAAATAAAACTAAGCCTCCATGTATGATTTATTCGAGAGTGGGCTGATGGGGCCCCCTGAAAGAGTAAAACATCACACTACAGGGGAGGAAGGAATGGAGGTGGGGAAGAGAGCATGAGGGAATAGGCTGTTCAAGAATCACTGGGGAGGTGACAGACACACAGACAGACAGACACAGAGAGAGAGAGGCACTGAATGCTACTTTGGGATCTAGAAACCCCTGAGTTTTGGAGGCCAACACCCCTCACTGTGGGTAGTGGGTAGGGCTAGGGTTGGCTCTGAGCTCTTGGAGTACTGGAAGGGAAGCCAGGCCTTCAGGTTGTTCATTCACACAGCCCAAGCAGCCGGAACTCACCGTGGTGACAAATGCCACCTGCCAGTTCTCCAGCTGCCATTCACAGCGGATAACAGGAGACACAACAGCTATCAGCATGATCTCCATGGCCTCCACAACCTTCAAGAGAAAGCAGGAAACAATGTCACAACTACACATCAGTTCATGTCACCTCCACATAGACCTGTCACCCTCCTAGTCCCAATGACCTCTTCCCCTTTCCCCTAGGTAAATAAAAAACTGTGGTAGCCAGACAGTGGTGACACGCTCCTTTAATCCCAGTATTCAGGAGGCAGAGGTGGGTGGATCGCTGTGAGTCTGAGGATAACCTGGTCTGCAGAGCAAGTTCCAGGGCAGCCAGGACTGTTACACAGAGAAACCCTGTTTTGAAAAACAAAACAAATAAACAAACAAACAACAAAAACCCTATGGTAGAGCCAGGCATAGTAGCATACACCCCTGATCCCAATACTCTGGAGACTGAGGCAGGAGCATTGTAGGTTTGAGACCAGCCCTAGCTTCATATCAAGACCCTAACTAGAGAAACCCTGAAATGAATAAAAGAAGAAGAAGAAGAAAGAGGAGGAGGAGGAGGAGGAGGAGGAGGAGGAGGAAGAGGAGGAGGAGGAAAAGGAGGAGGAGGAAGAGAAGGAGGAGGAAGAGGAGAAGAAGAAGAAAGAAAGAAAGAAAGAAAGAAAGAAAGAAAGAAAGAAAGAAAGAAAGGAAGGAAGGAAGGAAGGAAGGAAGAAAAAAAATACCTATCATAAAAGGAGTAACATGGGAAAAAATTAAAAGTCTAAAACTTGGACTCCAAAGCCCAAATAGAAAAACTCTTAAACCTCTCTGGGTTCCTAAAAAGGCAGCCTGACAGATAAGGCTAAACAAAGAACTGGGAACACCCCCTAGCTGTGTCAACATTTCTCTGTCCTAAAGAAGATCAGACAGTTGTCAATTTGCGGTTGTAAAAATCCCTGACCCAGGAGATAATTAACAAACTTACTTCCTCTACAGCATTCTGCTTAATTGCATCCTGCCTGAACATACAGTTATTGTTTCATCCTAGGTAACCATAAAAACTTTGTAATCAAGACGTCCAGTCTTTTTAACCTTCCCCTTAAACACCACCCCCTCCCCAGCCAAAAACTGGCACTCTGCTTGTTCCCGAACAGGCAGGGTCTGAGTTGCAGCTCGTAATGAAGAAACCTTTGTTTTTGCATTTGGTGTGTCACTTCCTCAGTGGTGGCTTTTTGGGGGTCTGAGACCTAGCATAACATTAGTAGATCCTTGGCTTTCATAAACATAATAGTCATAGTTTGTACAACTTGGGAGTATCCCTAAAACTTAGGGTACCTATTCCCTGTGCTGGTGTCCAGTAACACTGACGGAGGGGCCGGTCACTTAGCTCGTGGGTGAGCCTGGCTAGCCATGGCGTATTATGAGGAGGGTAGGACACACCCTCACAAGTGAGGGTTTGAAACAGCTGGGGTCAAGAAGCTGGGGTCCCAAGGAGATGGGAAGGTTCCTGAAGGCTGGAAAACAAAGCGACAGGCACAAGCTAGGAGTTCGCTATCAGGAAAGAATGTCTACTCAACAGATGGTGCAGGGTGTGCTCCTGAGCATTTTGAGAGGAGAGTGGATAATTAGTGTCCTAGTTTGCTTTACGTCGCTGTGATAAACACCAGGACCAAAAGCAGCGAAGGGAAGAACGGGTTTATTTAACCTGCAGGTTGCAGTCCATCATGAAGAGAAGACAGGGCAGGACCTCAAGGCAGGAACCTGGAGGCAGGGACTGAAACAGAGACCATGGAGGAGTGATGCTTACAACCTTGCTTAGCTACCTGTCTTAAACAGGCCCAGGCCAGGCCCACACAGTGGACTGAATACCCACCCACCCTCGCATCAATCAGAAAGCAAGAAAAATGCCCCCCAAGCATGCCCGTAGGCCAGTCTGATGGGATCGATTCTTCAGACGAGGGTCCCTCCTCCCAGGTGTGTCCAGGTTTGTGCCAAGTTAGCTAAAACTTAGCCACGCAATTAGCCTTTTCCATACCCTCCACTCTGTTTTACGGTAGGGTTATCTCCCAGGGAAAGGAAGCAGATACGAGAAATGAATGAGTCGGAACAGGTGCATTAGGTAAAGGACGACATCGATGTCATAGCATGGGGACAGGCTTCTCAAGGGAGAGGTACAGAAAGGTATGTCTCCTCCCAAGAGAGTCACCTCTGGCTTATTTATATTTTAGTATTTAGTGTGAGCATGTGAGTGTGTGTGTGTGAGAGAGTGTGTGTGTATGTGTGAGTGTGTGTGTGTGTGTGTGTGTGTGTGTGTTTACCTGAGTGTATGCATGTGCACCACATGTATTCCGGAGCCATGGCAGCCAGAAGGTGGTGTTGGATCCACTGGAACTGGAACTACAGATGGCTGTGAGCTGCCACGTGAGACGCTGGGGTCACACCTGGGTCTTTTACTAGAGCAGCATGGGCCCTCCCTCTAGCTCAACCTCATTTTTTAGACAGAGTCTCTTACTGAACCTGTGGCTCGACAGTTTGGCTTGACTGGATGACCAGCAAGCACCGGGTACCCTCCTATCTCTTCCCCTCCCTGCAGCAACAGATTGCAAGCGCATACACCACCAAGTACAGCTTTTTCAGGGCTGCTGCGATCTAAGGTACTCATGGCCTGAAGTTTGTTTTTGAGGTAGGGCTGGCTTTGTGCTCTTAACCTCAGGTGATCCTCCTACCTACCACTCTGCCTGGCAAATCTGAGGGCTCGCACCTGTAGGACAGGGCAAACACAAACACCACAGACACGGACAAGGAAGTCAGGAAGAGGAAGGAGAACTAAAGGAAGAGAACACATTTGTCTGGGGTTTATCATCTTGATGGTGCTGCTGGGACAGTCATGGGATTGTTTATTATAGTAACACGGAGGTCCGGCAGGGAAAGGAGGAGCAGTGTCCCCAGGCTGTGGGGTCTCCTTGTTAGTATGTGGCTTGCCTCCTCTAGAAGATTGCAACTGTGCTCAGAGTGCAGACGCCGGGATGTTTTAGTCCAGGACTGACAGCATGGCCATCTCAGAAGGATGCTGTGTTTACTAAACTCACCCTCCTTAGCAATATGGAACAGCTGGGCAGTGCTCATCAGGACCGAATGTCTACAGGGTCCCAAAGGAAACGCACGAGTTAGGAGTCACGCTGCTCCGCCCCGATAAAGGAAGGTAGTAAGACCCTGACACGTGACATCTGTGTGGTTCTGGAGTGTGGAACTATGAAAGCATGGACTGAAAGAGTCTGTCCTTTACAGGTAGGAACAGGTTCTGCGTAGCACGGCATGTTATCATAAAAGGCGGTGTGATACTTCTGACAAGCCCCTTCCTATCCCAACCTCTCTCCCGAGAGCGCACACAACTTCAGAAAGATACAGCAGAACTTGTGGGCTGTCTCAGTGTTGCATGACTCTTTTTTTCTGACTTTTGGTCTTTGTTTTAATTTTTTTTAGAGAAATTTTCACTCTGTAGCCTAGGCTAGCCTCACAGTAACCTCCTTGACTCAGACTTCTAAGTGTTTCGATTACTGTCATAAACCATGACACCTAGGTTTGGTCTGTCATTTTTTTATTTGTTTTTGGTTTTGAGCTAGTCTCAAGTAGTCCAAGCTGGCATTGAGTTTACGATATAGCTGAGGCTAGCCTTGAACTCCTAATCTTCCTGAATCTTCCTCTCAAGTGGCAGAATTACATGTGACTATTATTTGCTGCTTTCGGTTAGTGAATATTTGGTGAACTTTATTAGAGGATTAAGTATTTAGGACTGGAGTCACTGAAGTCCACCATACCAAGGACAGCATAACAAGAACCCATTTTCCAAAAGTGAGCAGATTTTTACCTGATTTGATCTTTGTATTGGCAGGAGTGGGGTGGGGTGGGGTGGGGTGGGGGCTCGGGGATCTATCCCAGAGCCTTGCTGGTACTTCACGTGCTAGGCAAGCTGTCTTTCACCAAGATATATGGATAGCCCTTTCTTTCTTTCTTTCTTTCTTTCTTTCTTTCTTTCTTTCTTTCTTTCTTTCTTTCTTTTTTAGGTTTATTGATTTGTTATGTATACAGTGTTCTGTCTGCATTCTGCATGTATCCCTGCAGGCCAGAAGAGGGCACCAACCAGATCTCATTACAGATGGTTGTGAGCCACCATGTGGGTGCTGGGAATTGAACTCAGGACCTCTGGAAGAGCAGCCAGTGCTCTTAACCTCTGAGCCATCTCTCCAGCCTAGATAGCCCTTCCTTAAACTTAAAAGAAAAAAAAATCCTAGACACTCTCTCTCTCTCTCTCTCTCTCTCTCTCTCTCTCTCTCGTGTGTGTGTGTGTGTGTGTGTACATGTGTGTACATGTGTGTACATGTGTGTACATGTGGAAGAAACACCTTGAACCCCTGATCTTCTTACAGCTATGTGTACAGGTGTAGCCACCATGCCGAGAAAGTAGTAGAAACACGTAGAACACGTGCCCCGATAGAAGGAAATGACTGAACCTCTTAGGGGATCTAGAATCTTCCCGACAGCAGATGTTCCAGGTGATAGCAACACACGTGCTCAAGACTCATGTCTACTCCGCGTGATATAGCCCCGTGGTCCTCTCCCTTCTCCCCAACAGCTCGATGGGAACCTCTGAGATGAGTCTGGAGTCACCAGAACAGACACATGCATGCATTCGGCCGGTCCTCGCCAACCCCTGCCAAAGGCTGATGAAACGATGTCCACAGGACTCCCCCTCCCTGAAATGGACAGCAGAAGAGGTGGTGTCCAACAGAGAAGTCAGTGTCACAGGTTCCGAGGTTCTCCAAGGGTACTCACCCCAGTGCTGCCCATGATCAGAAAAAGTGCGATGTGGAAACGTCCGAACCCAATGGTCTCTACGGCATCCTCCACGGTGAATGTCTTTGTCTCTGACAAGGCAGGCAGAATGCAAAGACCACTTGAGTGTGAAGCGAACTCCCCAGGGATTGTGGTTCACATTTGCAGGTATTTGCAACATTATTATTATTATTTATTAGGATCTTGTGTGACCTAGACTGACCTCAAGCTCCTATGTAATAGAGGATGACCTTGACTCCTGATCCTCCTGCCTCTGTCTCTCCAGCGTTGGGATTACAGCCATGTACCACCATACCAGTGTGTGTGGTACTGAGAATCAATCTAGGATTGCATGTAGGCTAGGCAAACACACTACCAACTGACCTACAACCTTGGCCCCTAACTCATCATTATAGCCATATTAAGATTAGTTTGAAAGCTGGGCCTTCTATGGTGGTCTTACCTTTCTGCTGCGGCTCTGGGGTTGCCTGGCTCAGCTTCCGAAGGCTAATGATTGTCACAGGTTCTGTCTGCTTGGCTGCCATCTAGGCCACTCCAACTCCCCACACACCTTCCCTAATGAAGCCAGGATGAGTAGGAGAGGAAATATGAGTACAGAGCACATATCATATGGCAAGTCCACTCCATGTGAAATTGCCTTGAGCCCTCAGAAGTCCTAGGAGGAAAGTTGGTAGCTGGGTCAGGAAAGTGCTTGCTGTGCACACACGAGGAGATGCTTCTATACACAGAACCCAGGTCAAAACAGAAAAGCTGGTGTGGAGACAAGAAGACTCCTGGGGCTTTCTGGCCAGCCAGCCTGGCCTAACCTATGAGTTCCATGCCAGTGAGAAACCCTAGCATTTCTGAGGGAGCACACCCAAGGTTGACCCCTAGCATATACATACACATGCACACACATGCATAGATACCTAAGGTTGACCTCTGACCTACACACACACACTCACACACATACACACACACACACACACACACAGTATCCACACATGCACACACACATGACCTAGGAGATATTTTTTTCTCTGTCATCTTGTTTCCTCTGCAAAGACTACTCCTGTGTTTAGATTCCCTTCTACTTACTAGGCATCTGGCTTGAGGAATTTGTCTTCTTGTGAACTCCTTGTCCTCTTCCTAAAATGAGGATAATATAATAATCACACCTAACTCTTAGGCTGGTGTGAGGGCCTAACAAGTTATCTCACAGAAAGTGTTTGGATTACACTTGGTGTGTCCTGACCCGCTGGAAGGAAGCTAAGAGCCCTGGTTACTCCCACTGTGAGGACTGCCTAGAAAGGACGTAATTGGTTCTACAAAAAAAGAATGATAATTTGGTGCACACATTTACCAGCACTCAGGAGGCAGAGGCAGGCAGATCTCTGAGTTCAAAGATCTCTGAGTTCAAGGCCAGCCTGGTCTAGAGAGAGAGAGCCCCAGGACAGCCAGGACCACACAGACAAACCCTATCTTGATAAGTCAAATAGAAGTTCAGGGGCAAGGGTAGAGTAAAATGGAGGGCAGTCTGTCAGGGTTGAAGGGAAAGTCTGGGGAAGCTGTAGATCTCACATCTGCTGGGAGGAGAATGGAGAACATAGGCAGGCATGGGGGACAGCTTCCTGGTGGTAGGTAGCTGTGTAATGGGGCAGTGAACTTTAGAAAAGCAACAAGGAGGATGGAATATGGCTCAGTGGTTAAGAGCACAGACTGCTCTTACAGAGGACCTGGTTCAGTTCCCAGCACCTACACAGTGGTCCACAAACATCTCTAACTCCAGTTCCATAGAATCTGGCACCCTTTCTGGACTCCAAGGGTACCATGCACACACATACACTCATATGTACATTGTTTAATTTAAAAAAACAAAGACAAGAACAAGGAAAGCCCAAAGCATCTGTTGGCATCTAAAAGCATGCTGAGGCCCTGGTCAGAGTTCTCAGGCATGGTTATGGCTTCCTGCGTTAGGACTTAAGACAGGCAGACAGAACACAGCTAAGCCCCATGGTGGCTCACAGGGACCGCACCAACGGGTAAACTCTAGGATGGAAAAGTACATTATCTTAAAGCAAACCCAACTTCCTAGGGGTGCTCCCTTTGCCAGGTCACTCCCCTTCCCCACTGGATTAACCCACATGGAAGGAGACACGGGTCTGCCTCCATCTGGAGGTAGGTTCTAGTTCATACAGCAGCTGATCTCAGACCCTTCAAGAGCCTGCCATGAAGGCATTGACTGTGCTCTTTAAAAACACTGTTGAGACACCTCTTGATAGCTGTTATTTGGTAAAGGATGTCAATGTGCACGCACACACACACACACGCACACACACACACATCTGTAGAGGCCAGAGAGTCTTGTGTGCTCTTTTTCCCTATGCATTTATGTGCATGTGGAGCATGGAGGACAACCTCAGGTGTCATCCTCAGGAACGTCATCCGCCACCCTTGAGACAAGGTCTTCCCTTGGCCTGGAGCTCAGGCAGATTAGGCTAGACTGGCCGGTCGGTGAGCCCCAGGGCTCCTTCTCCGATTCTGCCTCCCCAACACCGGGAATTACAAGTACATGCTACCACACCTGGCTTTTTATGTATGTGCTGGGCATCTGGACTCAGGTTCCATGCTTACATGGGCCAGACCTTTATGACAGCCATCTCTCCAGACTCTAGCTGGTGATTTTTAACGAAGCAGTGGCAATTGATTAGAAAATGGACTTTGCAGCACATTAAATACCCTCCCTCCAGCCCCCTCCCCCAGCAGCCGCCAATTGCTCCTCAGTCAGGAGGGATCTCGTGAGGAAGAGAAGGACGGACAGGGCAGAAGCTAAACCGCACTAACTCAGGAAACAAGGAGAGAGACTCAGCACCCCCAGCCAGTCCTTCCTCAAACCCCAGAGAGGATGTGGTGCTCCACCCAGCTTCAAACACCCTGAAAATGAATGTGGATGGATATAAACAGAATCAAGATTGACTCTGCCACTCAGAGGCCCAGGTGGAGCCCTGAGTAATCAGACGCCCAAGGGACAGATTGATACTTCAATTGTATCTTGAATTACAGATTTTTTAAAGCCAGAAATAATTGGGCTCCCGTAAGATCTTTTTCACCCTGACTAGCGTGTGATTTGTTTTATAGTGTCATCAATAAGGGCCTAGGAGAGTATGTAAATAAAGAGCTCAATTCCAAATTCCTAGAACCCACATAAAAAGCCAGAGTGGCTGTGGTCTCTAGAATCAGCCCCAGGGTGGGGGCAGGGGCAGGAGAGTCGTTGGGTTTGCTGGCTGCCAGCGTCGGTCCAGGTTCATCGAGAGACTGAGCGGGAGAGATGACACTCAGTGTCCTCCTCTGATTTCTGGGAATGTGCACAGGACACAATCCTGCACACACATGTGCATCTACCACACACACAAACATACCAACATAGATAATACAGACGTATGTTTTTTAAAAAACGAAAGTTTCCCACCCAAATTGCCTCCAGCATCACACAAAGAGTTGGTTCCCCTCCCCACCCTGACCAGCAGCAGTAGAAGCAGATATACACCTGTTGCTCAAAAGTCGCTCACCTGTGTATCCCTTGGACAGCGTTACAATTCTGGGCCGCTGAACACTGTCTTGCCACAGCCCTGGAGTTCTGGAGGCCTCTCTGCCTATAGGCTTACCTTCCCGAGAGTCTGGCCCCCACTCCCTGCCCCTACCCGCCTTTCACCTCAGTTCTCCAAACAGGATTCATTAAGGAGCCACCTGGAGTTCTGGGTGAGTGACATGGAAGGCACACCCCCTTCTACACAGCCCTCACCTGATCCCTTGTTAAAGAGACAGAAAGCAGCTACCAGACCGGGGGGGGGATGTCAGCTTGTCACTCTCAGGTGGGAGGGGCATTTCTGAAAGAGCTGGGGTGGGTGGTGCCTTTGAGACATCTATGCAAGGAACATTCTTTAGATGGATGTCCAGTAGGACACCAGCAAGCTGAGAACTGTACGACTCCCTGGCGATCATGGCAACAGGAGAGTACAGGCTTCCCATAGGCACTTGGGTCTATTCTTTCTGTCAGCTGTCACTGGCTAAGCTCCATCACCAGGTCTTAGGATCTCTTTTCTGCCATCCAGACAGGAGGAGAGCCTCCTAGACACTTGGCAGGGAGAATAACTCCATCTCTTGTCCAGTGATGACCACGATGGAGTCCTACAGATGGAATTCAAACACAGATAACAACTACCATCCTTTGATCCAACCTTGGTAGGTGAATCCTTTAAAAGGCAGGCCTCAAATCCTGGGCAGGCTGCGGCACAAACAGGAAAGGGCCGCGACCACTTCCTTCTTGGTTTGAGTACTGCTTTTATCAACACTAGTCAGTCTTGGTAGAAGGCAGCAAGTGCGGTCTAAAAGAGTCACAAGCTGGGAAGATGGTGAGGGGGCCAAGTGCTTGCCAAGCAGGAGGACCTGAGTCCAAACGCCCAGAATCCAGGTAAGAGCCAGGCATGGCTGCATGAGTCTATAATCTCACTGTCCCTACAGAAAGATGACAATCAGAAGGCAGTTAGCCTGGTACACGCAACGACATGGAAAACTGTCCTCAGTTTTGTGTGTCACAGTATACATGTGCCTGCACCCAAACACGCAAACACATTTGAATCTTGATCAGCTCTTCGGGTAGAAAGGACTTAGTCAATTGTGAAGCACACAAAAATGTGACTTATTCGTAGTCCTACTCCTATAGTGGTGATAGAGACAGCAGTTCACCCGGGTCTGGTGATTGGTTCTGGACTCAGACCCAAAAGGAACCCAACTATGAAGTAGTCTCCTCCCCCTTGTGCTGGTTACCAGAACCCAGCCAAGCCTCTGCTCCCCTTACCCAGCTGCTCCAGCACAGTGTGTGGTGACAATAAGCAGTGCCCCAAGGATGATGTCATGTTGTTGCCTTTCATTTCTCAGTACTCAGTGATGCGGACAGCCAGGCCGGGGCTGGGCCTCCCTCTACACGGAGGGCATTAGCTGTGCTCTGGTGGGGGTGACAATGTTTGAGGAAGCCTCTAAGCTTGTAATGCTAAGCCCCTGACCAGGGGGAAATTCGGAGAAAACATAACCCTAATCCTTCCTGGGATTAGGTTGTGTAACTCCATTGTCCAGGGTTGGCCTCTAAGGGTAGATACTAAACGTCATGGACTAATTTTGAATAAAGACATCTTAAACAGTGAACAAAGCAGACATTTATTTCCATGATTATAACCAGGAGGTCCAGGTGTGGTGGCCTGTGCCTGGCATCTCAACATTTGGGAAGTGGAGGCAGAAGGAGCCAGAGTTCAAAGTCATCCTTGGCTATGTAGCTATTTCCAGGACATTTAGAGCTAATGAGACCTTGTCTCAAAGCAAATATAAAGTAAAACAAACAAAAAACTATTACAAGAAGACAGTGGTCTAGTGTCCCCTCCCTCCATTCCCCAGTTATTGTAGTATTTGATCTGCACACAGAGTCCAAGTGAAAAGCAGTCCCTCGGTTACTCGGTTAAACCCTGCCAAACCTCACACAGGTGCAGGGCTGCCGAGTGGGACGCCAGGCCTGGGCTGACACTGGGGACAAGAGAGAATGAACTCCTTCAGCTGCCGCCGCCAGCACCAGAGTCTACTCCTCAGTGGCCCCTTCCAGGACATGCTTGAAGGAGAAGGGGGAGAACTTGGAGCCAGCCCCCTCATAGAACTTGTTCTGGAACTCCACCCTGTGGTGACGGGGAAGGGCAAAGAAAAAAGCAGATTGAAATGTAAGAGGCTGGCAGCTAGGAGCAGGGCACGGAACACCATGGGAACCAGGTGACCTTTTAAGCCTCCCTCTTCCCTCACCCCCTCCTCCCACCTCTCTCTTCCTCTAGCTTCATGGGCCACAGAGCACACCTCCCCTGCGTTAAGAACCTCCACAGCCTCCATCCGGGCGGGCGGGCGAGCATGCCGCCCCCTCCATTCACTATCTGATAATCACAGCCCATGAGGCCACAGCTCTGCACCTTGACTCCCAGTTGTGGAGTCCCTGCTAGTACAGGAGGAGGCAGGGGCTTGGCCTGCATTTTTAAAAATCATGTTATAGCCAATCTCACCCATGACCATTTCCGTTTCTGTGATGTTACGGAGGCACACGCTTCATGCAGTGGAGGGGAAAGTTAGCATGGAAACGGGATGCTCTGGTTTTCTCCACTCAGTAAGTAAACACAAAAATGTCTCCTAGGGCTGGAGAAATGGCTCGGCATTTTAAGAGCATTGACTGCTCTTCTGGGGGGGCACGGCTTCCCTTCCCGTCACCCAAATGGCATCTCACAAGCCTGCATAACTCCAGCCCCAGGAGATTCGATGCCCTCTTCTGGCCTCCATAGGCACTGCACACATACGGTGTATAGACACACTTGCAGAAAAAAACACTCGTGCATGCAAAACGAGAAAAATCAAAAGTGTTCTACCAGTGGCAGTCCCAGTGTGTACTGAGGATGTCAACGGCTTGCTGTGGCACTCTCCGGTTTGGCTTGTTCTATTGCTGCCAGTCCCGCCCTGAGCAACCACAACACCCAAACGCCTATTCCCTCGCTCTGCAAGCCTGTCTCAGCTCTGACACCTGCTACAAGCCAACAGAGCAAATGAGCATTACAGGGCAGCCAGCGTATCTGCAGGTGCGTGGACATGTGTTACATCACGCACACATCATGGAAACAGATGACTAAACTAGGTTCCAAAAAGATAGCTAAGCTGTGACTCTTGTCAGTCAGCCATCCCTGCTGCCTGCCCTTCCCCGAGCTCCTAAAGGACAAGCAGGCTTACCAATGCAACCGGAGGGCGTGCAGGAAGGCCGAGAGGCCCTCCATGATGAGGAGGATGGCGACTGTCAGGATGGCGAACACGGCAAAAATGATGAAGACCCCAATGAGCCCTCCCCAGCCCCGAAGGCGAAGGCCGATGTTCATCACCATGGTCCAGAGCACCTCAGACAGCTCTGTGGGAGCAAGTGGGACATCCTGAGCCACCATCCTAACACCTCAAATCCAAAAGTCCCTCTGGAGGCCATGCAGAAGCTTGACTGCCACAGCTCTGATCACAGTGGGGAGAGTCTTCCGACAAGAGGAAGCAGACACGTACTCAATGGCACACTGATCATCGGGCATAGCGGCCAAGTAGAGCTATCAGCAGGATAAGGAATAACTCTGTATAACATGAGATAGACACAAAAAACACTAAGCCTAAAAGAACGCGTGAAGCATGGTTTGTTTGTAGCTCTTCCTAGGGTCTCAGAGGGGGGTGATTAGAAATATGAGAGGGGACTTTTGCCATGGGATTAGGGAACCTAAGGGCTTATTCACTCTCATGTCCCAGCTCTCGCTCCCTTGCCCTGCTGAGGGGAAAGTCAGAAAGCAGCCTTCCCCCCGGCCCACCACGCTGGCACTCCCATTTCAAACTTCCAGCCTCTGGAACTATGAAAGAAAGAAAAAAAATCTGTTTCTGACCGCAGCCACCCAGTCTCAAGCATTTTGTCATGCCAGGCTCACACTAAGTGGGAAGCACTGAACATTATAGTAAGTTTCTTAAGGACCAGAAAGACACCCAGGGAAAACATTAGTCATTATCAGGGCTGGAGAGATGGCCCAGCAGTAAAGAGCACTGACTGCTCTTCCAGAGGACCCAGGTTCACAATTGTCCATAACCCCAGTTCAAGGGGACCCAACACCCACGGCAAAACACAAATGCATACAAAATAAAATAAAATAAAACTGTCGTTATCTGGCAAACGCACTACAAATGAACCAGAGAAGGCACTCTTGCTCATGAATGCAGTAAGTGTGTTCTCCGGGTGATATGATTGACAGCCCCGCCACTCCCGGGCTGCACAGTCACCTGCATGAGCCAGGCTGAGGGCCCAGAGCCGAAGGTACGAGGCTGTGTTGGAGATGCAGCCCAGGCAGTACTCGATGGTGTGGATGGCCTGGTGGACAAAGACGTCTCCGAAGCTGAACTGTAAGAGAAGTCTTATTTCATTACGTTCACTAAGTTCTTTCCCTCCCTTCTCTCTTCCTCTCCTAGTGAGGACGTTAATTTCCTTCTTTATTACAGCAATAACTACACACATATGGATACAGTATATTTCCGTGCATGTAAGTAGTAAATACTCATGGTATCAGGGTAACTGGAGACTTTGCGCTTCTAAGTTAGTTACAAACTAGATCATAGATTACCATCTGCCATGGTCACCCTGAGGCAGGATAGAAAGGGGAAGTTATGGAGACATGGGAAGGGAAAGGAGCCCTTCACCCAGGAATCTAGTTGAAGGCTGAAGGCTCTTGCCAGCAAGAGTCCACAATCTGAGTGCTGGGACTAAAGGTGTGTGCCACCAGCGCCCGCCCTGGGCTTTCCTGAACTCACTGACTCAGGGGCCACCAAGCTGAGAGCAGCAGACCCTCCAGCTTGTGCCTGAGTTCACGCCACATCCTTGTGACTGCAAAGATTACATCCCAATTCTAGACTCTGCAAACTGACAAGTCGTCTTTTGATGCTCTGGGCTCAGATACCTCCTCCTCATGGTCACCCTTGGTCCCGTGGGCCCCTGCGGTCTTCTGAGCAGAGGCGCTGGAGTGGCCACCCTCAAGGTCATCCTCAGGGATCGTGAAAGACTGCAGCTGTTGGCAAAGCAAGGAGATGGAGAAGGTTCTCGTTGAAGGTCACTTATGTACTCTCATCATGCTGTCATTGTTGAGGTTTTTTTTTTTTAATGTCATTCTCTTTCTCCAGCCTCCACAGGAATGATAGTTGAGGTTAATATCCACCTTACATTCTAGAAAAGTAGAGTTTAATGTCTACAGCCATTTAAAGCCTTTGCAATCTCAATACAGTCCACTGTGTCTTCTCCACTAACAGAAGAAAGCAGGGAGTCATCCCAATGCTCTCTGGGAGATGTTAATCTCCCTAAATCCTGTTGCTTTTAGGTTACTATGTAAATCTTAGGCTCAAGGCAGTTTAGACAAAAAGAGGAAGGAGAAGTAGAAGTAGAAGAAGAAGAAGGAAGACAGACAGACAGACAGACAGACAGACAGAAGCTGACCAATTGAAGTTGATAACTGGCAATAGGAGATACTATGGGGGTTTCCTAAGACAGCCTACAGCAGCATTCTAAGGGAATTTACACCCTTAGAGATTATACCGTTAAGCCAGCAGGAGGCAGAGGAAGGCAGATCTCTGAGTTTGAGACCAGCCTGGTTTACAAGAGCTAGTTCCAGGACAGCCTCCAAAGCCACCGAGAAACCCTGTCTCAGAAAAAAAAAATGACATGCTTCAAAAAATCCACAAAGAGTAACTCCTCCTCACCTCCCCCGCCCGAGACAGGGTTTCTCTGTGTAACAATCCTGGCTGTCCTAGAACTCACTTTGTAGATCAGTCTGGCCTTAAACTCACTGAGATCTGCCTGTGTCTGCCTCCCAAGTGCTGGGATTAAAGGCATGCATCACCACTGCCTGGCATAACTTTTAATATTCATTTTAAAAGTAGAATTATCTGTTGGGCAGTGGTAGCATGTGACTTTAATCCCAGCACTTGAGAGGCAGAGGCAGGTGGATTTTGGTTTGTTCTAGGCCAGCCTGGTCTACAGAGCAAGTTCCAGGACAGGCTACAGAGAGAAACCCTGTCAAAAAAATAGATAGATGAAGATAGATAGATAGATAGATGGATGATAGATAGATAGATAGATAGATAGATAGATAGATAGATAGATATAGAATTGTCCAGGAGGTGGAGGCAAGGATTGCTTTGAGTTAGGCTGGCCTGGGCTACATAAAGAATGTTAGGCCAGTCAATACACACACACACACACACACCAAGACTCTGTCTTTAAAAAACAAAATATAAAGTGTGAAATCCTCTGTGTCTAACCAATAAAGCAGCCAAGTCTGGATGTTTCTAATGCTTTTAAATCTCCAATGACAAGTGGGTAGGATACACACACCCTGAACAGAGTCTGAGGAACTTAAGACTTACTATGTCTGGGAAACGGGATCATTGTGCCGGAAGAAAAGGGACCCCGGTGGGACTCTACCAAAGGCCACACACATACTTGAGGCCAGCCTCACCCTCCAGACCTCCCCAGGCCTTGCAGGGAAGCCCACTGCTCTCTCCCCACCCCAGACATTCCATGTGCTGTGACCCACAGTTGACAAACTAAAACCCCGCGCTTACCTGAGATTTCTGGTGTTTGGCTCTGAGAATAAATGGCTTAATCAGAAGCATCCACGGCACAGACACCAATGCAATGATGACAAAGAACGTTTGGACCTCTTGCTGCAAGATCAAAATTGATGCCGGTCACCGAGGTGACCACAGAGAACTCTTTCCCATGCCTAACGGGGCTGCAGAGGGCAGGTACTTCAGCAGCTCTCTGAGCAACATGAAGCATTCCGACTCTGCCCACCCTCACTCTCGATACATCCCTAGAGTGAACAGAGAAATGGCGGTCCTGCGGTGCTCCATGCCCAAGGAAGGATAGAAACCGTTCCTGCGTTGCTTATGAGCTAGGTAGCCCTGGTAAAACCTCTCACGCCATGCAGAGTCTTTAAAACAAGAAGTCCTCCTGAGGCACACCATGAAGACAACGCTAGGCTTCTCTCACCTGTTAACACTGCTCCATGGACACAGTTACTCCAGTTCCAGAGGAAAAACTGGCAGGTCACATGACTCTAACCAACCAAAACCCACCAAAACCAACCCTTGGATCATTTTATATTAAATCAGTATTTTATATTCTATATTTCCAGTGTGAGGTAATTGCCTGAGCTCTCTCTCATCCTCCTCCCTCCGTCTACCCCTCCCCTAGTAAGAAACGTGGTGATATTTTGCTTGTGCTCTAACAAATAAAGCTAGCCTGGAGATGGCAGCCACTAGTTAACCATCGAGGCCAGGCAGTGGTGGCTCACACCTTTAGTCCCGGCACTAGGGAGCAGGAACCAGGAAGCGATATGACAGGGTAGAGAGGAATGTAAGGCGGGAGGAGGCAGGAGCTCGCCCTTTTGGTCAGGCTGAGGAGTTGGCCAGGTCAGAAGTGGCTGTGCCTTGCTCCTCTGTCTCTCTGGCCTTTCAGCATTTACTCCTATATCTGACTCTGGGTTTTCATAACGAAAATTAGAACTAGTGCTACAAAGAAAGAGACCAGGAGCTCCCACACTGTCTACCCGACTTTCTGCCTCATGTCCTCTCAGGGGTTGGGAGATCCACCATATACTCAGAACCGGTGTGTGATGGTCCCCATTTGACCAGTGCTGAGGGATCCCCAGCTTTCCTTTCGGGCTCCCCCCCACTTCTCATCTCCCAGCTCGGAGGAGCGACTCAGCAGCATTGCAGAAAACTGCCACAGGGGACGGGGTCCTGACTGGGGGCAGGGACAGAGGGAATGCCGCCATGTGAGCCTTCTGTTTCCTAGGCTGTGTCGTGTCAGGAGATGTTTGTGAGCAATAGAGGTAAGACATTTTACCCAGCAGGAACATTTTACCTGCCCGACTCCTGCTCTGTTTTTACAAGCTCAGAAGAGGGAAGAGCTGGGCTGGAGAGTTGGCTGGGCAGCTAAGAGTACTGGCTGATCTTCCAAAGGACCTGGGTTCAGTTCCCAGCACCCACATGACAGCTCACAGCTGTCTTAACTCCAGTTCCAGGGGATCAGACACCCTCACACAGATATACACAGGCAGGCAGAACACCCATGTACATGAAATAGATCTTTTAAGAAAAAAAAAGGAACGGGCATGTGTCTCCACCCTGTACTTCCCCAATGAAGCCCCCACACGAAGCTACCTCACTGCCATTTGTTAATTTTTACTACCAGATCTCCCAACCCCAGATGACAAAGCATCTGTATGTGCTCGTGCACAAAGACAGCCAGACCAACGCTGAGGAGACTTCAGTGACTGCCATTTCTTCTAACCACATGACCCCAGACTGAGGTTATAGAAATCGCAAACCATGTCAACAAATTAACCTTCATAGCAGGCCATAGGGAAAGCAGCCAATTCTCTGTAATGTTTTTCAATACAACAAGAAGTTGGAAAGCCTCACTCACTCACTGCAATGCCTGGTGCTTCTTCCAAAGGAAGTGAAGCCGGGTCCTCTCTACAAGCAGTTAACACTGGAAATACTTGGTTACTCTAGGGCCAGTGCCTACAAGAAAGGGTTTGTTTGGGAAACCCAAATAAACATTCGCTCTGATGCCAGCATTGGAGCAAATGAACCTTTAAAACACACTCACTTTGTGCCAGCATTCTCAAGACAGAGAAGGGCCCTCTGAGGTATGTCTCCTCTATGATTATTATCTAAAACCATCTCTTATATAAGCCTTGTCGGGCAGCATGTTTTCCTCTTGCTTGATGCTTCTAGAAGGAGAACGCAGCTAGGAGCCAGGAAAAAAAAGCTCAAAGTCAGCTAGGAATCTAGTGTTTGTAGTCCCTGGCAAGGGGTGTGTCCATGGAAGAGCCACCTAGATCCTAACCCTAGAACCCTGTCCACTGGAGTTAGGATGTAAGGTCGACACCATTTTTTTTTGGATGGACCCCAGCATGCTGATTTTTCTGTCTCCAGAAAAAAGCTATAATTGCATATTGGGTGTCTTCTTTAGAGCGATCCCAGGATACTTTAATGTTTAAAACTTAAACTGGAGCCGGGCATTGGTGGCGCACGCCTTTAATCCCAGCCCTCTGGAGGCAGAGGCAGGCGATCTCTGTGAGTTCGAAGCCAGCCTGGTCTACAGAGCGAGTTCCAGGACAGCCTCCAAGACAATACAGAGCAACCCTGTCTTGGGGGGGGGGGGGAACAAACTGGAGCATTTTACCACTCAAGCCAATCCATCCGGAGGTTATTTTGTCCTCTTTTCCCAGGAAGAGTAGGAGCCTCATAACAGCTATTTGTCCCTGTCCACTCACTTATAAGAACATAATGTTCTTCCCTGGGTGCTAAGACGGCTCAGAGAACTAAGATGCAAAAGAACTCCTCTCTGCAATACTCAAAGAGCATGAGAGAGATCTAAGCAAACTGAGTGGGTCGGAGGAGACACTCTCAAAGCAGAGCTACCTGATGGCTGTACAGGGGTGCGTTGGAGTCATCGGAGTCGAAGAGAAACATGCTGATGAAGTGAATGAGGATGCTGGGAGCCTTCTGGGATGTGTGGGCATCGTACCGACACCACTTGAAAATGATCATGAACACCAGGTATCCAAACAGACTGAGCATAAAAATCATCTCCGGGACGAACTGCAGAATGATGTTGAGGGTTCTCCTGAAGTAGCTAGGGGAGGGAAACACGAAAGACAGAGCATTAACAGAACGCTAGAGCTTAAGCGCTCTCCCCAGAGGTACTGTCTGGTGATCTGGCCATAGCTCCTCATGAAGATTTCACTCCCAAGACACAGATGAAGGTGAAATAAAGCAATGACAGACATTCAGAAACCTTTCTCCTACTCATGCGTTAAAGACGGGTGTTGCCTGGAAATGAAGAACGATCCTAATATGGGGCTGGAGAGGTGGCTCAGTGATTAAAAGTACTTTGTGCTCTCCCAGAGGACCCAAGTTCGACTCCCAGCAGTCATATCAGGTGGCTCAGTCATCTTTAAGTTCAGTTCCAGGGGTCTGACACCACTTTCTGGCACGTGCGCGCGTGCACACACACACACACACACATACACACACACACACACACACACACACACACACACACTAAGTGGTACTCACTTTTTCATGGTTGGGTAGAAGGACATTAAACTCTGTCTGGTATCACAGGCCTGTGATCACAGGCGCTCAGAAGGCTGTGGCAGGAGAATCACATGTTCTAGCACTACCGGTGGGTTACAAGGCAGCCTGAACAGCTTAATGAATCTCTGTCTCAATATTATAAAGGGAAAAACACTGGGCATCATGATTCACACCTGGGGAGTGGAAGCAGGAAGTGAAGGCCGTCTTTGTACGTATGCTGAGTTCAAGGTCAGCCTGAGCTACATAAGACCCTACCTTTAAAGAGAGGAGGGCTGTGGCTGTCGCTCTGAGGCTCAGTAATAGAACACTTGCCTAGTGCTGTGGTTTGCATGAGAATGGCCCCACCCCCACCACCCAGGCTCATGTATTTGGACACTTAGTCTTGAGCTGGTACACTGTTTGAGAAGGATTAGAAAGATCAGGAGGTGTGGCCTTGCAGGAGGAAGTGTGTCATCGGGTGGCTTTGATGTTTCAAAAACCCACACTAGGGCTGGAGAGATGGCTCAGAGGTTAACACCATTGTCTGCTCTTCCAGAGGTCCTGAGTTCAATTCCCAGCAAGCAATCATATGGTGGCTTACAGCCATGCATAATGAGATCTGGTGCCCTCTTCTGACATGCAGGTATACATGCAGACAGAACAGTGTATATATACTAAATAAATAAATCTTAAAAAACACACACACACACACACCAGACCTCTGTCTGTGTCTGTCTCTCTTTCTGCCTGGGGATCAGGATGTAAAGCCCTCAGATACTGCTCCTGCACAATGTCTGCCTGCCTGCCGCCATGCTCCCCACGATGACGGACTAACCCTCTGAAACTGTAAGCCAGCCCCCGATTAAACGCTTTCTTTTGTAAGAGTCGTCTTTGGTCATAGTGTCTCTCCACAGCCATACAACAGTGACTAAGACACTTAGCCTGTGTCAGGCCCTACATCCAATTCCTATTACCTCAAGAAAAGAAAAAAAGAAGAGTATTTTTATGACTCTGAAATTGTATAGAAGTAAAAAAAAATCTCCCAAGACAGGGTTCCAAGAAAGAGTAAGAGAGTTCACAGCCTTCTGCTCTAAGACAGAGCCCGGGGAGGCTAAGAGGGGAGCTCCAGAGATGGACTGCCAGGAAAACCCCTGGTACACAAGGGAGTCCGTGACATCAGCTGGGAAGCCCCTTCCTCAACATATCTTTAGCTTCTTGCTTACAGCGTGTCTGCAGGGCACAACATCCTTGGCTTTCCTAGTAGAGCTACTTCTATGATCTCTCAAGTGCAGGTCGCCCTACAGCTGGTTCTTGCCAACAAAATGGGACCAGAAACAGTCCCATGACACTTTGGGTAGAAGCTTTAAGACTTACTAACTCTCTGCCTCCTTTTCTCTGTCATGGCACCTTGATAGTGTCCTCTCATTCTCTAGATGAGAGACATGGGGCACACATGGGTTCTGCCGCTATGAATCATGGTCTTATGCCATTGAAGTTGGAGTTGTTAATTTTGCTGTAACCTAACCCATTCTGGTCATATATTCCCATTCTCTTTACTCCCTTTCTTTATTTGCTCTTTTTTTTTAAGACAGGCTCTCCCAGAGCCCAAGCTGGCCTTGGACTCGCTATGTAGCTAGATCTTGAACTTCTGATTTTTCTACCTCCACCCAAGTACGGGGATCACAGGTGTACACCGCCACCGCAGCCACCGAATGCAGTATTGGGGACTCAGCCCAGGGCTTTGTGCATGCCAGGCAGGCACTCTACCAACTGAGCTGCAGCCCCGGCCCCCATCCTATTTTGTTCACCACGATAACAATCTCAGAAACGTCAGGCATTGAGGCTATGATCATCTTCTCTAGTAACTGAAGTGGAGACTTAAACCGAGTACAAGCTCTCCGTCATTCCCACGGACCCCAGTGCCCCACTTACTCCTAACCTAAGTGGCAAGTGAGATTTCTGGGCACTTGAAGTCAGCTGCCCTGTTCAAAAGGCACAGCGGGTGAGCATGTGATGCTAGTAGCATCGATAAGTTTAAGAAGCATTCCAGCGGTGGATGCTGACAGAGGAAAAGAACGGGATGCTGACATGAACAGGCAAGAGGAAGACAGGCTGCCACCAGCTGGGAGAGAGGACATCCAGGACGATCCAGGGTTGGGGGCGCCTTGACCAAAATTCATACAAGTCCTCCCTGGCCCATTGGGCGGAGAATGAACTGCACACTATGCCAACCTTTCCTTCCAGGTAGGAGGAACACAAGGTGCTTCAAGAGCGTTCCAGCACCCTCGTGAACCCTATCGTGTTTATTCCCAGGGAAATATACACTTTTGCTTCGACAGACTCTGCATGGCAGAGACAGAGGTGCTCCTGTTTCTGGCAAACCCAGCCTGTCTCAGCTCAAGTCAAGATGCATAGGGAAGCTGCCTGCCATACAATGGCTCACTGATGGCTCCGCCCCTTCCTCCCCTGTGTGTCAGATGAGCAAGCAGAGGGTGAATTGAGACACTCACAGGTAGGGTGGAAGATGGTTCACAAGTTAAGAGCCCTTGAGTTCTCGCAGAGGACCCAAATTTGGTTCCTGGAACCCACATTAGACAGTTCACAATAACCAGTAATTCCAGCTCACACACCTGCACTCACACACATGCCCACACTCACTCACACACACATAATTGAAAATAACCATTTTTGTTTCTTTTAAGAAGAGACTCACATGTGATTGAAGAGGCTGAGAATAACACCAAAAGTCATCTGAATGATTCCCAGGATGACTGACATCTTCATCTTATAGGAGTTTAAGAATGTGAGTTTGTTTGAAGCCAGGTTCCAAATCTAAACAAGAAACATGACAAGAAAGACTTGAGGCAAAACTGGAGACGTCTTTAGGAGTTCGGGCTATAACACAATCCCCCAAGGATACTGTTCTGGGGATAACATGCACATTTGGCTCAGAAAAGGGAAAAGACAAACCTGGTTTTTTGTTTGTTTGGTTGGTTGGTTTTGGTTTTTCAGAGACAGGGTTTCTCTGTATTGTTTTGGAGCCTGTCCTGGGACTCCCTCAGTAGACCAGGCTGGCCTTGAACTCAGAGAGATCCGCCTGCCTCTGCCTTCCAAGTGCTGGGATTAAAGGCTGTGCGCCACCAACGCCCGGCTGAGACAAACATGTTATAACCACAACTGTGGTGACAGTGTTGGAATCACTGATGCCATTGATCAGCTATCCAAGTGCGTGAAGAATCAGAGATAAGGACTGCCGAGATTGCCGGTGATTAAGAGTACTTGTTACCAAGTCTGGCTACCTGTGCTGGTCAGTTTTTGTCACCTTGACAAACTAGAAGTCACCTGTTGCCTCCATCAGGTTGGTCTGTGGGCCATTTTCTTGATTAGTTGTTGATATAGGAGGCCCAGTCCACTGTGGGTGGTCCCAGCCCTAGGCAGGTGTTCCTGGGTTGTATATTGGAGCAAACTAAGCAAGCTATGAGGAGAAGCCAGTAAGCAGCTCCCTTCCATAGCCTCTGCTTCAGTTCCTGCCTTAGCGCCCCCGCCTCAATAACGGACTGTAATCTGTGAGGCTAAATAAGCCCTTTCTTCCCCAAGTTGCTTGTTGTCACAGTGCTTATCACAACAACAGCAAGCAAACTAAAACATGGGCTGAATTCTATTCCTGAAACCCATGTAAAAGTAGGAGAAAACCAACAAAGTTGTCTTCTAAACTCCACACGCATTCCATGGTACATGCCCACCCTCATAACTGTCTCTCTGTCGCTCTGTCTCTGTCTGTGTCTCTCCCTCCATTTCTCTCGCTCCGTGTCTCTCGTTCTGTCTCTCGTTCTGTCTCTCTGTTTCTCTCTCTATCTCACATACACACACACACACACACACACACAAAAGATACATGGTTTGCCTTATGCTAAATGGAAAGATATTATGAAATACTATGGAAAGTCTTGAACTTGCTTCAGTTCCTTTACTAATGGCCTGCAGGGAGATAACTGAAGGAGTTAACTCCTCTTTTAGAGCAGCCCATTTTGCTTTGAGTTCCCAGATACTTCACAGGGCAAAGCATTTCCCAGAACCTTCTTAAGCCATTTCTACAATCAACTGTCAGAACTACTATGGATAAATACGGTTCCTGCCTTCCATACAGTCCTTGTCCTGGCACAACTAACGGTGACGTGTGTTCCTATCCAGCCCCAAACAAAGATATAGAGTAGCCACAGTGCTAACCAGGGTGTCACTCTGGTTAACGGCCCCAATGCTAATGTTTCTACTTGTCACACAAAGTCCACTAACCCTTCGGTCTCCATCCCCATCCCAAGCCCTTACTCTGACCCCTGACCTCACGTGAAATCTAAGCACACCCCATAACACCTGTGCTCTTAAAGGCAACAAACCCACAGAACCTTCTCACCTTCCATCACAAACAGCTTCCTACTCCAAAATGCCCTCCTTCTCAGAGACTGTATCTGTCACTCTTCTGTTGTTGTGACAAAGCACCATGGCCAAGGCAACTCACAGAGGAAAGAGTTTGACTTGTGGTTCCAGAGGGATAAGACCCCATCATGGCAGAGAAGCATGGTGGCTTGAAGGCTGGAGCAGGGACCTGAGAACTCACGTCCTCAGCCACAGGCATGGAGCAGAGAGACCCTTCCATCTCAGAGCCCACCCCGTGATAACTCCCTCCTGCCAGGCCACACCACCTTCACCTCCACAACAGCACCACTAACTGAGGACCAAGAGCTCAAATGCCTGAGATTGTAGGCAACATTCTCAGTCAAACCACAACATGGGCCGACATCCAGTTAGGCTCAGCCTTAACACCTAGTCATCTTGTCCATCCCCACTGTGTGTGCTCATACTCATATGCAGGCTACACAGACAAACATGCCGCTAGAGGCTACATAGAGCTCACGGTCTCTTTGTAATATTCTGAGCAGCCACCAAGAGACCAGTAGGATGGAGGGGGAGGGGACTGTGCCATGTCTGAACACTGCAGGCACCTCCTCTACTCTTGGCACAGCTGCCTAGGCATCTAAACTATCCTAGACTTGCCCTCTGACCCACCTTTCTTTGGCCATCAGGGTGACTCGTGTCTAAAGAATCACTCAGTGTAGTGACGGCAGAGTCTCTAAAACATTATAGATCTAGCCAATCAGAGAAACTGCAAATGCTAAAGGTTAAGTACCAGGCACATGCCAACCCCTTTAGATGTACTTATCCCATTTAATCCCCAAAAAACTCCCTAAGACAGACATAAATATTCCAGTTATATAAGCTTACAGAAAATTGATCATAACCTTAGAATAAGTTACTGATTGTGGTGGTTTGAATAGGAAAGGCCCTCATAGACTCATGTGTTTGAATGGGAAATGGCACTATTAGGAGATGCGGCCTTGTTGGAATAGGTGTGGCCTTGTTTGAGTAAGTGTGTACTGTGGGGTAGGCTTTGAGGTCTTATATGCTCAAGCTACACCAATGTGGCACACAGTACACTTCCTGTTACCTGTGGATCAGGATGTAGAACTCTCAGCTACCTCTCCAGCACCATGTCTGTCTGCTGCCATATTTCCCATTATGAAGATAACAGACTAAACCTCTGAAACTGTAAGCCAGTCCCAATTAAATATTCTCATTTATAAGAGTTGTCATGGTCATGGTGTCTCTTCACAGCAATGGAAACTCTAAGACACCAATGTACCTGGAAAGAAAATATAGCAACTAACACATATCATGTTTATGCAATAGACTGATTAATTTGCAAAGCAATATCGTGGCTAAGGCTGTTAAAGCCAGTCTACAGGTGACAAAATAGGCACAGAGATATCAATCGTTCAAAAATCACAAAGCCAGATTCAGACACAGGTCGTCAAATTTCAGAACATGGGTTCTTAACCAGTGTGTCTCCTCTGTGGATAAGTCTTGGCAGAACACTTGCCTCCCACACACAAGACACTGGGTTCAGTCCTCTTACCAAAAAAGGAAACTAAAAATACTGTAAGGCTGTTGCACCATAATGAAGGCCAGGAATTTTTTGATCCAAGTCACAGGAAGGTTCTCAGCACAGTGACTGGAAGCACTAAGGACACTTATGACACGCAATGATTAACCCTTTCACTGGTCTCTGACTCAAACACTGAGAGGCCCAGAAATGTAAGGACCACAGCTGCCAGACCTGATGCTCTCTATAACATCTTATGTTTTGTGGATTTTCAAACGAGCATATATGATTTTAAGATAAGAAGCTGTATTTGTGTGTGTGTGGTATGGCGGACAGTTCTAAATGCTTCCAGTTAGCCCCTCATTTAGGTGTCCCACATCTCTGACCCTGTCATTTTTTCTTCTCTTTTAAAATCAAGGTCAAGTGGCAAAATTTCATGAAGAACAAACTCTGACTACTCGGCTCTTTTGTGGCATTCCTCTTTTTAATATTATTTTTCTATTAATCAAGCAGCTGGAGAGATGGTTCAGTGGCTAAGAGCATTTGGTTGCTCTTCCAGAGCACTGGGGTTCCCAGTACCCACATGGCAGCCCACAACCATGTGAGCTCTCCAGCACCAGGGGATCTCACAGAGGTCATCTTCTGGCCTCCGTGGGCAAGTTAACAGTCAAAGGCGCTAGTTTCGGTGTGGCATTTTCCCGTGAATACTTTGTTCTGCTTCACCCCCTCAGCCTGTCCTCACCCGTGCACACTGGTTCCCGCTCTGCCTGGCTCCCTCCTTCTCCCCAGGTAGTCCTCACGTTCTGCTTTTACGTCACTCAGATTCCATTACCATCTGTCCTGTTTTGTTTTTTTTTTTTTTTTTGTCCACTGGACACAAACCAGAGTCCTTTGAAAAGAACATCAACTGCCGTCGCCGGGTTGGGCGGTTGGAATTTTCCAGATTGGTTGATGTTTGAGGATGTACCGTTGAGGGCAAGCGGTCCTGGATGGTGTAAGGAGGCAGGCAGAGCAAGCCTTGGGGAACTCCATGGCTTCTGCTCCTGCCTCCAGCTTCCTGCCCTGGCTTCTTTTAAGGGTGGACTGTGATGTCAAGGTATAAGCCAAATAAACCCTTCCCTCTCCAAGTTAGTTGCTTTAGGTCATGGTGTTTTAGCACAATAGAAAGTCAACTAAGACACCTCTCCTAGTCTCCCCTTAAGAACTGTCTTCTCGTCCCATCCCCACGCACACCCTTTAAACCTAGACTTTGTACAGAGAAAACGAGCAACATTGGACTCTCTGCAATAGGCTTATTGAGCCCAATGTAGTAACTTCCAGTTTCATCCATTTTCCTGCAAATGCCATAATTTCACTTTTCTTTATGAACAAATAAAATCCTATTGTGAACAAGTAACACATTCTCTTTCGCCATTCATGTGCTGATGGACAGCTAGGCAGGTTCCATTTCCTGGCTGTGGGACATAGAGAAGCACTTAACATGCATGAGCAAATGTGTCTGTGGTGTAGCCCATGGTGGGCCAGCTGAGACACACAGTTCTATCTTCAGGGTTCTGTGACGGCCACAGGTTCCCCTCCCCCTACAGCCTCCCCAGCACTCGTTGACCCCCCCCCCCCAGTTTGTAGGCGTAAATCTCTCCGTCCCGCTGAGCCTGAGGAGCAGACCTGGACAGATGGGGTTTGCTGACAGGTGGGTGTAGGCCGTGCAGGAAGAGAAGGCAGGAACAATGGGCTTCAACGCAGAGGAAAGTCACCAGACCCTGACGTCTCCTCTACACCCCCCACTGCCTGCTTCCTGGCCGTGCCATCCTGACCAATGAGAAGGCCTTCCACTCTGTGAAGATGGCAGCGTGTCATGGAGCCGGAGAGACGGCTCACAGTCAGGGCACATGACTGACCTCAGAGCTTGCTTTCGCCACCCACATGTGGCTCACAACCACCAGCGGCTCCAGTTGCAGGGGATTTGCTGCCTCTGGCCTGCTAGGGCACCTGCACTCATGTGCATGTACACACACACACACACACACACACACACACGCACGCATGCACGCATGCACGCATGCATCCACGGAACTTTAAAAAAAATAACATCTTTAAAGCATATTAGCGACTCGTCTGTCTTTTACACTTTGCAGTTTACAAACTGGCTTCCAATGAACCTACCTGTTTTGATAAAAAAAAAAAAAAACTTAGATTGCAACTGGAACTTGGCAGCGGGTCTGAAAATTCCCACGCAATGCTTTCTGCCTTTACTGGGGTGAGGAGGAGCTGACGGGGGGGGGGGGTGACCCAGGGAAACTGGAGGAGATGACCGCGTGAGGGAAGCGACCGAGAGGGAGGAGGCTACAGGGGAGCCACTGTCAGAAGCATGCTGCTTGCTTCAGTTGCTTTAGCTGGAACTGGCCACTCAGGCTCTGTCCCACACAGAACCGAGAAAAAACGGCCAGGTCTGCAGGAGGCATGGTGGACCGGGAGCACAGCACTGCCACCTGCTGGCAGCATGCATTGGCTTTCTATGAATGACCGTGTCTCCATTCACAAACTCAAGCATTTCCCCCCCAGAGATCACACAGTCTAAAGGCTTTGGGGGATGCCACATCTTAGTTGACTGTGAGACTAAAAACAAATCAGTAGAATGAAACATGTTTTTTAAATCCTCAGGAGCCTGGGGAGAAATCTCAGTCTGTGAAGTGTTTGCCGTGCAAGCATAGGAATCCAGGTTTGATTCCAGAACTCATGTGGAAATGAGTGGTGGTGTGTGCTTTTTAGTCCCAGCTCTGGGGAGGCAAAGACAGGAGGATCCCTGGGGCTCACTGGTCACCTAGCCTAGCTTACTGGAAATCCTCAGGTCTCAGTGAGAAAGCTTGTCTCAAAACACATGGTACCCTGAAGATGACACCCAAGGTTGACCTCTGGCCTACAGAAAAGCCATACTATACAGCATAAATTAAGATGTTACCCACTGGGAAAAAAAGTAGGGGACGAGATTAAGATGCTAAGTAACTTATTATATATACTTTCTAGGCAGCCAACACAGGAACGCGTGCATGACTTCAGGGACTGTCCACCCGTTTTTTTTGTTTTTTTTTTTTTTCCTTTTTGAGGCAGGGTCTCTCACTGGCCAAGCAGGCTATGGTGGGTAGCTAGTGAGTGACCCCCGGGGATCTGCCTATCTCCACCTTCTGATGGTTGGGATTCCAAGCACAGAGACCAGGCTGGCCTCAAACTCATGGAAGTCCTTTGGCCTCTGAGTGTTAGCCTTGAAGGTGTTCACCAACACGTCCAGCCCACATCTGGCTTTTGACATGAGAGTTTTAGAGACCAAATTGGGTCCTCATGCTCGCAACACCAAGCGCTTAGCCAGGTGTGCTTCCCTGCCAGGACACAAGGGCCTTTTGAAAGCTGTCATCGGCCAGCGGTGGAAAGTGAGAGTCCCAGGCGCAGTGGGGTTCACCGGCTGGACCCAGCACTGCCTGTCACACCACCAGCCCCCGAGTTAGCCCACCTCACCCTCGGTCTGCTGTTCCAGCTCTGTTCAGGGATCCTGGGATCCTGGAGGACGTTCTTACCGGATCAATCCCAAATGGATAGGGATTTCCAGAATACACTCCTGGGATGGCCGGGTCCAACTGCAAATACGGACTGCTTTCCACGACATGAGCACTGCAAAGATGAAAGAAGTAACAATAATCAGAGATACTACAGTGTCATCAGCCATGAGCTTCTGCCAACCAAAGCCCGGATGCTGGCAAGGTGGCAGTTGGGTTTGCTCAATAACTCCATGTCTGTCACAGAATAGCTGCCGGGTGTCAGGTACCGTCCTGAGCCCTGAGGTTTCCTTAGTTGCCCTCTGGGCCACACAGGTCAACAGCCCAAGTTCCCAAAGAGCGCTAGCTCTGACTGGAGTGTAGTCAGAAGAACTACAAAGGGTAAAATGTCAGCAAGGAAGTGGGGACTGGGCTGAGGGGAACAGACAGAGGACGAGGAGGGACGTTAGAGCAGGGCCGGCCATGAGACACCTGGGCCAGCCCTGAAGGTTATCCAGCGAGCATGAGGATGTGTCCTCCTTACCGCCTCCCTGCACTGTCCCCAGTGCCTCAGGTACAAATACGTGCTGCCATGCCCAGCTTTTAAGTAGGTGCTGGGGATCTGGATCTAGGTCCCCTTGTTGGGACAGCGAGCACTTTACCAGGGAGTATGTGTTTGAAATAAACAGAAGACTGCCCACTGTGACAAGATGCCCATACTTCATCTCTCTGCCATGGTCTCAGGAAGTGGCTTGGGCACTAGTGTGCTGCCTGCCTTCCTGGGGCATACACGCAAACCCAGTGACCACACAGAAGTCTCCAGAAAGACACCAAGAGTCAGGGAAGCAGGGCCAGGGCCCAGACTCTGCCTGGTGACCAAACTCAGATTGAGAGCACCTCCCCTCTGTGATGGAGGGCTGGGAGCACCTCCCCTCTGTGATGGAGGGCTGGGAGCACCTTCCCTCTGTGATGGAGGACTGAGAGCACCTCCCCTCTGTGATGGAGGACTGAGAGCACCTCCCCTCTGTGATGGAGGATTGAGAGCACCTCCCCTCTGTGATGGAGGGCTGGGAGCACCTCCCCTCTGTGATGGAGGACTGGGAGCACTTCCCCTCTGTGATGGAGAGCTGGGAGCACCTCCCCTCTGTGATGGAGAGCTGGGAGCACCTCCCCTCTGTGATGGAGGGCTGGGAGCACCTACCCCTCTATGATGAAGGACTGGGAGCACTTCCCTTCTGTGATGGAGGACTGAGAGTAACTTTCTCCACCTCACCGAGAACATGGATGCTATCTCAACACCAGGGCATGCTGAGCACTGTCCACCTGGCTCCAGGGTGTACAGGTATGCTATGGCACATTAAAGGCATGCACTTGTCCCCATGTGTGCAGAGGGACAAGCCCACTCTACAGGGGGGAACGAAATGTCATGTTGTCTTGTGAAATCATGCAGATTTAATGTATTTTGAAACTAAGTTCTTCCAGGCGTCTCTTCAGATGCCTATTCATTATAGGGGGGGGACCACAAACACAGCCGTGGTATTCATTATGGGGGGGACCACAAACACAGCCGTGGGGTAGCTTCAGTCCTAGCTTTCACTTTTCCTCATTACTTTATTGTTGTCATCCTCTACCCCCAGAGCTTGGGCCTTCCAGAAAAACCAAATGAGATCTCTCAGAACCTCCACGTTCAAGCTAAAATTCGTCACTACCTGGGCTGGGGACACAGTCAGTGGTGGCCCACTTGCTTGTACCAGGAACCAATTTCAATACTCTCACACACAAAAAAAAAACCACCTTCCATTTTCTCCTGAAAGCCTATTTAAGCCTTCCAGCACTGGCCAGCAAATGCAATGCCCTGAAGGAAGTTCCCTCAAGCTAATGTCCTCACACGAGACTGCTTGCTTTTCCACTCCCTTCTTCTATGTCTTCTTCAGACTTGAGTGGACAAATAAAAAAAAAAACCTTGGATTTCCTTAAATAGAAGTGTCCTAGGCTGGGCACAGTGAGGTACGGCTTTGATCTCAGCACCTGGGAGGCAGAGGCAGGTGGATCTCTGTGAGTTCAAGGCCAGGGCTATGTAGTGAGACCTTGTCTCAAGAACAGAAAGGAAGAGAGGAAAGTAATGAAAAGAGGATGGAAAGAAAGAGGAAGGAAAGAGCACTCCTATAGGAGGAGGAGGAGGAGGAGGAGGAGGAGGAGGAGGAGGAGGAGGAGGCAGGACTGGAAACAAAGCTATAACTGCACCATTTCTGTCTTTCTCAAACTTTGAAGCCCCCTCTCCCCAAATCCACGCCCCTGAAACGTTGAACTGATTAGCAGCTAAAGCAGTTGTGGAAAGTACATGGGAGACGCAGGCTGAGGTGGCATTACAGAGCTTCCGGTCAGGTTTCCATCCAACTAGCTGCGTCCACCCCACCCACCCTCCTGACTCTGTCAGCCACGAGCAAATTCAGGAAGCTGCCAATGCAAACTCTCAGCCTCCTCTTTGCTCTTGATTGAGCTGGGTTTTCTGGGCAGCCTAAGGAAACGCCCCACTGCAGGGAGTGGGGCCTGGAACACGTGAGGATCTGCACACTGCACTATCTGTGCGAGCCTCTCACAAGGGAAGACTTCACTGAACTTCACTCTCCCCCATTTCCACACAAGAACAAAGTATGCTGCCAACCTCACTCCCTCCTCTGCAAAGCTCTCGCTCTGCCACACAAGAACCAGTTCAGTGGCTGGGGAAGCGGTACAGGTCTTACACACAAGATAAAACTGGACAGCTGGCTTGACAGCTAAGATCACTTGCCGCTCTTGCAGAAGACGCGAGTTCAAATCCCCGCAACCAAATGGCAGCTCAGAAAAACCATCAACTACAGCTCCAGGGATCCCAGCGCCCTCTTCTGACCTCTGCTGCACACACACAGTATACATACATACATGTAAGCAAAACATGTATCCATGTAAAGTACTAATAATAAATCTTTTAAAAAGTGCATTACTGGGTGAAATTTCGGGGGCATCTGCGATCAGAACCTGGTGTAAGCTCTCCCGGCTGTAGAAGCAATCACTGAGCTCTTTGGATGGCTAACAAGCACACCCTGGCAGTCTATGAACTTACTTCCACGTGCCATTTCTGAACATAGGCTGGACGCTCCAGGAGGACCCAAAGATGTTAAGAGATTTGGAGAAGCAGTCATTGTAGATCAAGCCAGTGTAGATGGAGAAGATACCCATGAGCAGGATCAGGTAACGGCCGTTGAAGAAGGTGTTCCAGATCTGGCCCAGGAAAACAAAGGGCGAGTGTCAGTGGGGTCTGCAGAGATGCAGGAGAAGAGAGTGACGTATCTCCAGCATCAGTAGTGTGTGGAGAGATGGACTGACCACAAAGACATCACATTCCTCCATGTCCGGACGGCCCTTAGCTTACTTATGTAGGTCACTCAGACAATCCCTGGCCTGTATCCACCGGGCCAGCAAATGTGTAAGCCCCATATCCTTTCTTTCAGCGGAATGGACTGCTATGCACGCTGAAGCCTCATCTGCTAAGGAAGGACCGGAAATGGGCTGTGTTCTCCAGCACCTCCAGGAGGGAAACCCTGAGCTGACCTCTGCCCCACCGTCCCAGGGCAGATCGGCATTCACTAGGAGCTTTGTCTTCAGAGCTAGGCTTCTGTCTTCCACATCTGCTAGGGAAAGCAGTTTCCTGGGATGCTGGATTCAGGTATCATTCATTCTAAAGACGCTGGGTTCGGGTATCATTCATTCTAAGAACTGCTGACATGCCGATTTGCAACTTTAAATGTCTTCCATAGAAAATGACACCTGTTAAAAGCTTGCCATGAAGGCTGAATTGGTCACAAGACTGACCTTACTTATGATTAACTCACAATGACGTCACAGCACTCACTCTCCCAATCCAGCCTGTGCCAAAGGACTGCAGCCATCTTACAGTCTGGAACATGGCTGAGGGCATGTTTCCACTCTGTTGAGTGTATTACCATAAACTGACTGAAAGACAAACTCCAGCCCGCACAGGTGAGCTTCTACCTTTAAAACAACATGGAAGGAGAGCATGCCGAAGGCAGACAGACTCCAAGTGAAGCATGAGGTCCCAATATTCAGGAACCCTTGGGGTTTCTTTAAAAAAGAGTCTGCCATGAACATTCATGGTACTTTAAGACTGATTTTAGCCGGGTGGTGGTGGTGCATGCCTTTAATCCCAGCACTCAGGAGGCAGAGGCAGGCGGATCTCTGTGAGTTCGAGACCAGCCTGGTCTACAAGAGCTAGTTCCAGGACAGCCTCCAAAACCACAAAGAAACCCTGTCTTGAAAAACCAAACCAAAAACAAACAAACAAAAAAGACTGATTTTAAAGGAAGCTACAAATAATGTGTAGTTCTTGATGGCAATTTTTTAAAATTATATATCTGAAGATAAGCACAAACACACAAAATGGAATTATATTCAAAAGCATTCATCATCACCTTTCTCTAGGTAGTTGAACTGTAGTATAAACTAAGTTCTACTATTTGTATGTCTTGTTTTTATAATCAATGTAAAGAAGGTGTTTTAAAAATTAAGAGAAGGCTAAGTTTAATTCCAGCACTCCAGAGGCAGAAGCAACCAGATCTATGTGAGGTCAAGACCCAGTTGTTTTAAATAGTTGAGATCCTGACTCAAAATAATTAAAATAATAATAATAATAATAATAATAATAATAATAATAGGGGCTGGAGGTATATCAGCAGTAGAACCCTTGCTCAGCACACACAAGTTCCTGGATTTACTCCTCAGTACCTCCAAACATCAACAAAAATCAGTGCTTTGAGCTTGTCCAGCATGCATAATCTCCTGTCCAACATAAACATGGTGTATCAGTGCATGCCTGTAATCCAAGCTTCCAAGGGGTAGAGACAGGAGGTTCAGAAATGAAAGGCCAACCTTGGCTACAAAATGAGTTTGAAGCCAGGCTGGGCATGAGACTCTGTCTAAAAAAAAAAAAAAAGTTAGCCAAAACCCAATGTTATGACACAGACAAAATCCCAAAAGAGTTGATGAACTTACCGTAGCAAGCCACCCAAAGGAGCCATGTTGTTCAAAAGCTTTATGTTGAATTAGGCTATTGTTTTCTGAGACAGGGTGTCTCTGTGTAGCCCTGGCTATCCTGGAACTCACTAGACCAGGCTGGCTGCGAACTCACAGATCCATCTACCTCTGCCTCCTGACAGCTGGGATTAAAGACAAGGACATGAGCGGCCACCACCACTCAACTGAATTGAGCCATTTTTAAACTTTGCATTTTTTGTTTTTCCCGCAAAACCGTGTTATTCCTTAGAGTGACAATCACACTAAAGATAGATTCTTATGCCTATTGTTTTTTATATGTGAGTGTATGCCACATGTGTCCAGGTGCCTAAGGAGGCCAGAAGAGGGAGTTGGATCCCCTGGAACTAGAGTTACAGCTGGTTATGAGCTGCCCAGCATGGATGCTGGGAACCAAACCCAGGTCTTCTACAAGAGCAGTTGGCACTCTTCACTGCTGAGTCATCTCTCTAGCCCTTCACATAGTACTGTCTATTGGTCTGACTGTCCTGGAACTCACTCTGTAGGCCAGGCTGGCCTCGAACTCACAGAGATCCGCCTGCCTCTGCCTCCCGAGTGCTGGGATCAAAGGCGTGCGCCACCACGGCCAGCCGACACCTCACATGTGCATCCTAACGCCTTCCCTCCAGGAACACTGGCTGACGCCCACCTCGTTGGTGTTCTTCTGAGCCAGCAAATGCTTCTCATTGAGGACCATCCACAGGGCTGCCATTAGCATCACCATTCCGTGACCACAGTCTCCAAACATCACAGCAAACAGGAAGGGGAAGGTGATGATGGTGTAGGGAGCTGTAGGGGTGACATTCGCAACATCTGAGGCCCCCAATGGGTCCCCACCCCCTACCAAGATTAGTCTAGGGAGGCCCCTCCAGCTGCTGGCAGGTTCCCACGAGCCTTCCCGATTGTCTCTCCCCCAACACCACCACGCAATACTGACATGGTTCCGTGTGCCCTAGCTACCCCATGAGCACAGATTCTCTGTTTATGCCAGCACAGAGTCTCCTACAGGTGACTCAACCTTCAAGCTTCCCACGGCCACTAAGGTAGACGGCATTTGAAATGGTTGATTTTGACTGCTTGCTGGACTGGATTGGTGAAGTACCTCTGGGTGTTTCTGTGATGGCATTTCCCAGAATGGAATGAGATCCTGAGGGATTGGCCTAACCACTGGATTAGTCCTCTGATGGATTCATAGGACGGTGGCATTGGAAGGGAGTGAAAAATAGAACATGCGGTCTAAGGCCTCCTCTACTAAATAAGGGATCAGCGACTGGCAGGCTGTGGTCGGGGACAGCTCCAGGGGACAAACCCTGAGCTGGCCTTCAGCATCTGCTCTTCCATCATGGACTGTGTCTGTGTTCATCTGAGGAAGTAGGTCACTGGCTGGGACTTGTGCTAGCTAGATTTTTGGCAGCTTGACACAGCTAGAGCCACTCTGGGAAGAAAGAGCCTCCATCAGATTGGCTAGTAGGCAAGTCTATGGGGCATTATCTTATTAAAGGCGTGAGAAGGCCCTGCCCACTGGGAACGGTGCCACCCTGGTGTATAAGAAAGTAAGCTGAACTAGCCATGAGTAGCAAGGCAGTAAGCAGCACTCCTCCAGGGCCTCTGCATCAGCTCCTGCTTCAAAGCTCCTGCCCTGGCTTCTCTTCATGATGAGCTACAACCATGAGCTGGAATAAACCCTTCCTTCCCCAAGTTGATTTCGGTTATAGTGTTTATTACAGCCATAGAAATCAAACTAAGGTAAGACTCCTACTGTACCCTGACCCCCTTTCCCATATCCCCCTTTTCTCAGCTCTTGTTTCTCCTTCCCAGCATGCTTCTACAACCATGATGCTCTGCCCAAGGACCAAGCAACCTTGGTCTGAGTCCTCTAAAGCCATGAGCTAGGATAAACCTTCCTCCCGGTGGTGGTCTGAAGGACTAGCATCCCCCATAGGCTCACATACCTGAGCACTGGGTTTCCTAGTCGGTGGTACTATTTATTTGGGAAGGTTGTGGGAGGAACCTCCAGGGGGTGGGGCATGGGCTTTAGATTTTTATAGCCTTCCCTCGCTTCCTGGTCTCTTTCTCCATTTCCTATGTACAGGTGAAAATGTGTCCCCCCCAGCTTCCTGTTCCTACTGTCAGGCCTACTCTGCCTGTTGCCATGATACCCTCTCCCTCTGGAACCACGAACTAAAATAAACCCTTGCTTCCCTAAGTGTCTTTCTGTCAGGGCATTTTGTTACAGCATGGGAAAAGTTCTAATAGAATCCCACCTCCCATAAGTTGTTTATGGAGGTATTTAGCCATTGTTGTAAAAGTGGCTAGACACAGGACTAAAAGCCTGTCTGACCTCTATGCTCTTTTCGAATACTATCTTTGGTCTGTCTTCTCCACAGACACAGCACCAGCAGTTACTCTTAGGTACCGTGATCCCCTGAAGCCCGGAGTTACTGGTCAAGTCAGAGAGGACTCAGGCTGGAGAACTGCACAGTTCTCTGTGTGGCTACGGAGCATCTGGTCTACCCACCTATTTGACCAGCCATGGCCACCATGGTCACACAGAACAGGGCACAGCACTAGGGATCTAGTCTCCTGACCAAGAGTCCTGTGCATACTCATCTCTTCACACAATAACCTCAGGGTTGTAAAGACGCTAGAGAGCCTTGGCTGACTTGGAAGAGGAAATGAAAAACTAGGGTTGGCTGCCATTTGAAAGAGTCAGATGTGGTATCACACAGTGATTTGTATACTCAGTGCTCAGGGGATGGAAAAATGGGGATCATGAGTTCAAGGCCACCAAGGGAACCTGGTTCTAAACAAAAACATACTGGAGGAAGGGTGAAAACAAAACAGTAAATCTTTTATGCGTTAGCATTCACAAAAGAGAATACAGGGCCGGCAGGAAACCAAAAGAGGTTGTAGAATGTCACAGTGTAATCGGATCCACCCCCTGCATCTACTGAAAGGCACACCTTAGTCATTTCCAGTTTTGTGCTAACTCGTTGTGCACGACATCAGAGCCTTACCTGGGTTTATCTCTCTGTAGCTACCTACACCATATGCATCGACAATGTTCTGGAAGCCAGCTGTGAATTTATTGGTCCTATTGAAGGTGGGAGGGTCTGATTTAGTTTCCACTTCTGTCATGATGGGGACCATGGAGGAGCCACTGAGTTCCTGTGGAAAGAACAGGTAACCAGGGTGTGTATATGAGAGTAAGTGCTGGCCCACAGATCTGGACATGAACTTGGGGCATCTCTTGACCTACCTGAGAACCACGACCCCACAATGAAAGACATTGTGTCTCAATACTTATCTACTGTCTCTTACATGAGTGTAGCCAAGGGCAGAGTCTGACCTGGTTCTCTGGCCATCCTCCATCCCCACCACACACACACACACTCACACCACACGCACCCCATACACACCACACACACACACCACACATACACTCACACCACACACACTCTCCACACACGCCACACATACCCCATACACACATACACACACTCACACTCCATACACACCACACACACACACACTCACACCCCTCAGCTCTAGGCTCTCTATTCTTCCTCCTCTCTTCAGAAGCTCAGCCACGTTGCTAACTCATCCCCCTCTTTCAAGGGACACCAACTTTCTCCCACATCTCTTTTGTAACTGCCAGATAGGTTTTCCTGACTCAGAAGTTCTAGAAAACCCCCACTCCTTACAACTGAACCCCCAACTTGCCCCTGCTTGGTCCTCCTGTCCCTGCCTCTTCCAAGAGCCCCCACTTGGCTAAATTCTTGAGGTTCTGTCGCCGCCATTCCAGCCCCTTCTCCTGATTAGGGGCTACCATTCCAGCTGAATACTTCTCTCTCGTGAATCCTGGCTCCTGTTCTCTAAGTTGCCACCCTAGACAGGCCTCACCACCTTCCCCAGCCTAGGTCCCTTCTGTGGATTCACTCATCCGCCCTGCTCGGTCATGTCTAGATTAAACAAACCAAAGGCATTGTTCTTCAAAGACTTCCTACAGTCTCAAGCGTGAAATCAAAACACCTTAATCTCACAGTAAAGGCTTCTTTCCGAGGTTGACTTAATCCTCCACTGACATCTCCACAACCTACTCCTCATGGAAACCAAGAGTACCAAAGCCGCCTCCTCCATTTGCCCAAGCCTTCACAATCCCCCACACACTCCATCCACCACCCCAAACCCTCACAGCGGCGATTGACAGAGGCGCCCTCAGCGGGACTCTACCAACTAAAGAATCTTTAGAGTTAGTCTCAGTTCACCTGATGGTGCCCTGAGGCAGACCTCAAGACAAAGCCCGGGTTCAGAGCTGAGGAGGCAGGCACAGCAGGGTAAGGAAGCTGCTCCAGGTCTCAGAGCAGGTGGCGGGTTCCCGCTGTATTAAGGGGGACTAGGAACCTCCTCCTTAGCGGCAAGACTCCGAAGCCTCCCCTCCTTCCTGTACGCACCCCAGGGCATCTGACACAGTGGCTGGCGGGGGCCACAAGGGACGGGACTGTTGATAATGACGAACACCTGTTCTCTTCACGGTCCCTCCCGCCTCCCACGCCTGCCTGGGGAAAGCACCTGTGAAAGTTTGGGGAGGTTGAAGAAACTGCTCCAGCCAGCCTCGTAGGGAGCCTGGCACAGGATGACATGGAGACAGGGTCTCCCGTGTCCCAGGGCTGACCTTGAAATACTGGAGGATGACCTTGAGCTTCAGATCCTGGTGTTTCTACCTCCTGAGAACTGGGGTTACAGGCGTGCCCCACCGCCACTCTGCTGTGTTCCGAGTTCAATTCTGACCCCAGTGGTGTGGCACTACCCCCCCCCCCGTGGCCCGCTCTCCCCGCTCTCCCCATTCTGCAGTGAAAATGCTCTTAAAACACAGACAGGACCCAGCCACTCTGGCATAGAATAAGACGGTGCCCCTCGGCTGCTGCATTGGCTCAGTAGGTGAGGATGCTTGCCTGCCACCAAACCTGGTGACCCGAGTTCAGTTCCTGGACTGAACATGGTGGAGGGAGAAAACTGGCTCAGACAAGTTGTCCTCTGACCCCGCGTGAGCGCGCACCTGCACACACACACACTAGAGGTAATGCAATGTTTATTCCTCCCCTTACACTGTTCTGAGGGCCACTGAGGGCCACTGAGGGTCTTCCCCGCCTCCATCCTACACCCGCCCTGCCTGCTCCCTGCTCCTCCCCTGCCTCCTCCCTGCCCCCACCCTGACTCCTCCCTGCCCCCACCCTGACTCCTCCCTGCCTGCTCCCTGCTCCTCCCCTGCCCCCACCCTGCCCCCATCCTGCCCCCTTCCCTGACTCCTCCCCTGCCTCCTCCCTGCTCCTCCCCTGCCTCCTCCCTGCCCCTCCCCTGCCTCCTCCCTGCCCCCACCCTGACTCCTCCCTGACCCTTCCCTGCTCACTCAGCACTCTGCATGACTTCTCCAGAAAGAACCCCTGGCTGGGCCCCATCTGAGGAAAATGCATAATTTTAAAATGTCCCTTCTGGTGCTGGAGAGATGGCTCAGAGGTTAAGAGCACTGACTGCTCTTCCAAAGGTCCTGAGTTCAATTCCCAGCAACCACATGGTGGCTCACAACCATCTATAATGAGATCTGGCGCCCTGCAGTCATACATGCAGGCAGAATACTGTATGCATAATAAATAAATGAATCTTTAAAAAAAGAAAGAAAATAAATAAATAAATAAATAAATAGATATAAATAAAATGTCCCTTCTGCGTAGGTTGGGAAAGTAACTTGAGCATGCCCCCTTTGCTCTGAAGTCCCGCCTCCCTGCCTCTGATTTACCCCTGCCCTCTGTGCCTCAGGTTCTCTCGGGGAATGTGGACAGCTCCCACCCCCTTGGCCATTTTCACCACAAGCTCTGCCTTCAGACCCCTCTGCCTGGGGCTTTACCTCACAGTGTTCCTCACAAGGCCCTCAGCAGCATCTGCCACCTGCTCAGGGGCTCGTCTGGCAACAGCGGCCTTGAGAGCCCCCCTTTAACCAGATGGACCACCTGCCTAGCAGGAAATCTACCTGCCTTCCCAGCTAGACCCCTAGTCAGACCAGCTTCCCTCCACCCAGTCCTCAACCCAGCGGGGTCACCACCACACAATGACCCAAGCATGGGCATGCATTCTCCGGCGGGGGGTGTGGTCACCACCCTGATACTCCACACAGTGACCCAAGCAGGGCATGCATTCTTCATCAGGGGGGGTCACCACCCTGATACTCCATGCAATTACCCAAGCAGGGGCATGCATTCCCCAGCAAGTCCACCTTCTTGTCATCACAGAGCCCAGTCCCGGTTTTTGTGGTTCCCTCTGGCCTACATGGCTTTGCAGGGCATTGGGCATCTTCCCGCCGGGGTTGGATGGCACTTTTCTCAGAACTAAGCATAGGCTCTCTGGCACTCTGTGGCCTGGGGTTTACTCTTTCATCAGTGAGGTCAAGGGTGGTCAGACCAGCTCCTCTCCCATGATGGCCCTCATCCCCCTCACCCACCATTCAGAGGTGTCTGCGAGCACAGACTCAGGGGCATGCGCGGTGCTCATCTCTCCTTCTAGAAAGTCTGCTGGGGCAGGGCCGTGTCTGCCCAGCGAGCTCCGGAGCCACTGCGCCCAGTGAAAGTGTAGCTGATGAACCAGGAGGTGACGGCACACTGTGCGTGTGCTCGGCGCTGCAGCTGGCAGGCTGAACCATGTGCGCCCTTGAGCCTTTAGTGCAAGGGCTCGGGCGTTTTGTCTCTCTAGGTAGCCTGTACCTCAATATAAGGTGATAGGCGGTACCTAAACTCAGACTGGGAAAGCTACCATTGCAGCTCGTGAGCTCTCAAAACGTCCTCACTGAAAACGAGCGAGTGTCACAAAGGAACGGTGACAGTTTTTCAATTGCTGAAGAAAAGAAAAGGGGGGGAGATGGCTCAGAGGTTAGGAGCAATGGCTGCTCTTCCAGAGGTCCTGAGTTCAATTCCCAGCAACCACATGGTGGCTCACAGCCATCTGTAATGAGATCTGGTGCCCTCTTCTGGCCTGCAGGCATACATGCAGCCAGAACATTTACATAATAAATAAATAAATCTTTAAAGAAAAAAAAAGGAAGTTTCTCTTCTATGCCTCAGCACTTAGTTAAGAATCAAAGGTACAGGGACTGGGTACGTAGCTCAATCAGTTGAGTACCTGCCTAGCCATGCTCTAAGTCCTGGGGTCAGTCCCCAGCACTGGATAAGCCAGGTGTAGCGATACACACCTGAAGTCAGAAGTTCAAGGTCAGCCAGGCAGTACTTTTAATCCCAGCTCTCTGGAGACAAAGGCAGGTAAGATCTCTGAGTTCAAGGCTGGCCTAATCTACAGAGTGAGTTCCAGAATAGCTAGGGCCACAAGAGAAACTGTCTCAAAAAAAAAAAAAATCCAAAAGTTTAAGTTGATCTTCAGTTAGAGTTTGAGACTGTGTATGTGGAGCGCAGCCTGTACTGGAGGCACAAGTCGGAGACAGTTCTACCACAAAGCCGCTTGCTTAGTTCACAACCCCGGACAGGACGAGCAGGGGCTGCGGAGGCCAGATGGACTTTGCCTCCGGCTGCTCCGGCCACTCACCACGCCTTGCTCCAAGGCCTTCTTGATGTTCCTGGTGTCCGCTACTGGGAACCAGATCTCAGCGATGACGCACTGCTGGGTGACGTCGATATTGCACATGTTCAGGACGTGGTAGACCGCCTTCATCTTCTGCACTTTGATGGCCCACGAGTGCCAGTTAGCGGCCGCTTCCTGCAGTAGGCGCTGCCGGTGAGACTCTGTTTGGGTAATGACCTAGGCGAAAACAAAAGCAGATAGACAGTTGAGCATCCATGGGGGTACTTGACTCACTGGCAAAAATGGGGGTTCATCGGCCTCAGTGGCTTCCCTGCCTCTGGAAAGAACACGTGATCAGTGGGTCTCCCCTACCCAAGGTTAGACCCTACGAACAAAGACCTTTCCTCCGTTTTCTTCCGTTTCCTCTATGCTATTTTCTTCCCCCTGCTATTGCTCTAGGTTGGGCTATGTGTCAACTTAAGATGAGGCCATACTGGATTAGTGTGACCCTGGATCCAGAGATCGAGGCCCACAAGGAGTACACCCTGGGAACCATGGCAGGATGGATCTACACATGTCCTAGCTGGGGGCATCGAGCTGCCAGTGGCCACCAGATGCTGGGTAAGACAGAAGGCTCCCCCCTCAGCCTTCTCAGCAAGAGCTCAGCCCAGGTGGCACCTTGATTTTGGACCTCTGGCCTCAGGAAAGAACTGTGTGTGGGAGAAGCCAAGTCTATTACTTGAACCTACCCTTTTGTGGTCATGAGTTACGATGTCTCCAAGACAGAGCAAACAGTCTCCATGATAAACCCTTCAGTAAATACTAGGCTCATGAGCTCCCATTCATGAACAAGAAACTTGGAGCTCATAAAATTTGATGGAATGACATTTCCTGTTTTGACAAATAAAATAGGGTCATCGTTTCCAGACTCCTTTCATATGTCTGTTTTGGCTATTATAAAAGACAGATCATGAGCATAAGACCTACGGTAAACAGGCCTGAACATGTGTCTTGAAGGATCACTTCAGTGTGTCATGCAACCTGACCTGAGGATTACACCAAGAGATAAGACCACGTTGGCACAGATAAACATTCACTAGCCTTACAACAAAGCTCACCCTAACAAGAACACAGTGTACTCTCCACATGCCACGACACATGTGCTAACACACACCCACACCCACACCCACACACACAGCGATTTTTAAAAAAAGTCCTGCTCACAGCAGGCAGGCATTGAATCCTAGAATCCTAGTATGTAGAAACTCTGAGGATGGACTCCATGGGAAGCCCTGCTGGCCAGTCAGTCCCTTGAGCCCATCCCCTCAGATGCCTGCTTACGAGATCGCTGCCAGACACTAGAGGAGCCTCACATACATCCTTGGCCCTGACAGAACAGAGGAGGAAAGAGGTTCTGTCAGAGCTTCCCTAGATCCCTGAGCACAACTACCCAAGTCTCACTGCACATGAACACATCTCCTCAGGATGCACCCCTGTGCTCAAGGATCACCTGAAGGAAAGACCATTAAATAAATCGAATATAGATATTCTGGAACAGCAAAGGTGTCTGCTGGCCAAAGGCTTTTAAAACACACATGCCAGGTGTATACCTGTAACTCCAGTACTTAGGAGGCTGAAGCAGGGTTGACATGAGTTCGAGATAAGCCTGTATTATGGAACAAACAGCAACCTACATAGGGCTATGAGGCAAGACCCAGTCTCAAAAATGAATACATAAAATCTAGTTTCTAAACCCACACAGTAAAGATTTAAATTGTAGTAGCCTATCCAGTAGCCGTGTGCAGCTTTAGGAATCTAAATTTAATAAAAATTAAATAATGGTCTGGGCAATGGCCTTTGCACTTGCCTTGCAAACGTGACAACATGAGTTCAATCCCCAGAATTCAAAGTGCCAAGCATTTGCCAGGTGGTGGTGGTGCACACCTTTAATCCCAGTACTTGGAAGGCAGATCTCAGTGAGTTCCAGGCCGGACTGGTCTGCAGACTGAGTTCCAGGATAGCTAGAGCTGTTACACAGAGAAAGCCTGTCTGGAGAGTAAAAGGTGCCAGGCCCTGGGGCATATGCTGGTAATTAATCCAAGTCTGAGGACGTAGAGACCGGATCCCTGAGGCCTGCTGGCCAGTCAACCTACCTAGGTGGTGAGCACTGGTAAAATCAGGGACCCTGTGTCTAAGAAGGTAGGTGGCATCCCTGAAGATAACATCTGAAACTGATGGTTCTCTGGCTTTTACACACATGTACACACAAATGTATGCAACTGTGCACACGCATTAACACACTCGTGTGTGTGTGTGTGTGTGTGTGTGTGTGTGTGTGTGTGTGTGTACGTATGCATGCATGCACAAAATTTAAACAGCCACCAAAATTCAGTCCCTTGGTATCACTCGCCATGTTTCAAGAGCTCAACAGTCACCTGTGGTCCATAACTACAGCACTGGGTAGAGTGGGCTGCTGAGCAGTTCTGTTGAATGGAGAGTTACAATGATCAGCACTGGTACAGAATATACCATGAGACTAAGGCCCAGCCGACCGCAACAACCAGTTTCCATGCTGCTGCCATTCAAGAAGAGTGTTCTAATCCCAGACACACTTGGTGTCACTGGGGATGATGGCAGGCCTTTCCAAGGGAGTGTATCTGGGACGCGTCAAGCCCTCCCAAGGAAAAACCGGACTTGGCACAACAATTCTGTACGGACAAACTGGTTGCTCCACTCGGTTGGCCGATTAGTGGGGTTCAGACTCATCAGGCAAAGTCCGGCCATGAAGGACTCCTTTCATCAGATTAGGGCAGCTGCCTGAAGGTGAGCTAGGGCTGTGGTCCCTTCTAAACTGAGCGTGTGACAGGCATGCAGAATCGTCAGCCCCAGCTGTCCGAACGCTGCTTTCCAATTGTGCAATCTGCGGCAGTTCTAACCAGAATTGCAGAGCAAACATTCCAGGCAGGGCCCTGGGGCCAGGACTCACAAGGAAAGGGCAGAGGCCCCCACCAGCTCTCGGCCCGAAGCCCTCACTCACGGTGATTAAGTCTTCCAGCCTCACGTTGACGCTGGCCAGCATCTCTTTGCGCTCAGCCGCAGGCTCGGGGCAGGGGTAGATGGTGGCTCGAAACCTGGGTTTAACACATCGATAGGACACGCGAGTCACTACAGAAAGGCTTCTACAATCACTTTCCTACCAGGTCATCACCGACTGACAGATACTGCTCCAATGGCCAAGCCTTTACTAAGATGGCCTCCCGTGCAGTCATTAGAAAATGACCCAGAACAGCCGGGCACAGTGCCTCTCGCCTATAATCCCAGCATTTAGAAGGCGGATGAGGCAGGACGATTACTAGCTCAAAGCTTCTACAGAGGGAAGTAAGGCTAGCCTGGGGTATACTTCAGTAGAAGAGTGCTTTCCTAGCATGAGTTAAGGTCCTGGGCTCAATCCCCAGGACAAAGCACATACATGCATGCCAGTGCACGCGCGCGCGCACACACACACACGTAAAATTAAGATTGTTCTACAGAAATAGCTGAGCCATGGTGATCACTTTCTCAGGGAATCGAACCCAGGGCCTCTAGCATGTCAGGTAAGTGATCTCCCACCACACTGCAGCCCCAGCCTAAGTCTGCCCAGTCAACAACGGGAGTAGGCCAAGATAAAACCTGAAACAGGCTGTGTCTCTGCTTTGTGTCACGTCTGTAACTCGTTAGTTCCCTTCCCAGCATCACCTTAAAAGGCCTTCAGAAAGTTACTCTAAAATCCTGGTCACCCTCAAAGAGGGCATGTCATTCTGCACGGCACAGCTCTCCAACCCGATTACCAAGACAGAGTGTGACAGTCTTCCTCACCCATCACAGATCTTCTTGATTTTCAGCCTGAGCTGTTCCCCTTGATAAAATATGATGAATATATTCTTTTTCATTTCTTCTTTCTGCAATATCAAGGGAAAAGTTATTTTCCTGTCTTTCTTCCATCCTTCCTGCCTTCCTTCCTTTACCAGTGCTGGGGATGAAATCCCAGGGTAAACACTTTCCCGCCGAGCTATACCCTGGCAGAACATAAGCTATAAAAACAAAAGGCCTCAGAGTAACTTGCTACGTGGTGGAGGCCACAGCCGGGCTTTGGATTCTGTTCTCGATCCCACAGGGAAGAGCTCGCTCACAGCTAAGGAAACACCTCCAAGAGAGGCTAGGATATTTCAGGGTTCAGAACAGCTAGACTGGGCATCCAAAACAGCTGTAAACATCTGCACGTCACAAGCAAGTCATTGGATACTCAGAGGGAAAGCTGTGACTAGGTTTTGACTCACAGCTACTGACTAGGTGCCCTTGTGAAAACCACTCATGGGTGTGGTGGCACACGCCTTTAATCCAGGCACTCCGAGGAACAGAGGCAGGTGAATGTCGTAAGGTTCCCGCCAGTCAGGACTAAGTAGTGGGACCCTGTCTTAAAACAAAGGAACAAAGAAACAAAACAGAAAACAAAAGCCTCTGCTCAAACAATGTTTCAGGCTAGGAGCAGCTCAGTGCCTAAGCATTTACCCAGCTAGCGCCCAGCCCCGAGTTCAATCCCCAGCAATGCACAAACAAGCCATTTGTGAAGAGGCAGGTGCTGTCACTTTGTTGTTGGCTTTCATTTGAGGGGTGAGGGAAAACTGTAAAACATGCTGTTGAAAGTTATAACCCAATGAACTCGTTACATAGCGCACAGGATCACAGAGTCAGGTGACACCTCAGGCCCAGGAAGTGTCAATGAACATGTCACACATCCTTCAAGCCAACAAGCCTACCCTTCCTTAGGTTCATAATCCTTTAAGAGGTAAAAGTTCACTTGTACAATTCCAGAGCAAAGAGGATGAGGAAGAGGGTACTGAGTTAAAAACCAGACTGGGGATACACTGTGTCAAAACCACCATCACCACCACCACCACCACCACCACAAGGTCCAGCAGCAGAGAGAAGCAATTGCTAGGTAGGGTAATTGGAAACAAATGTCCAGAGATACCGCCTGAGAATCATTGATATCCCTCGCAGAAAAATGGGTAGACACGATCATAAGACCTGGCTAGTGATATTTCGAGATTTCTGGAAACACCTGCTCTACACAATTTCGAAATACCCTCCACCACGGAAGACGTCTGGTCTTTTTCAGGATCTATGAGGTCATCTAGACTCTAGATCCGCTAGAATCAGGGATGCATTCTGACTTCTGGCTCCTACTGGGTGACCCTGCACACATCTGAGATCTTTCTCCAGACATTCCCTATATAAAATACTCTCTCCCACCAAGATGACCTCATGTCAAAACGTGATTGTGACAATTCAATGTCACAATTTGAAATAACCATAGAAAACAGGCATGGTTGGCCCATGTCTGTGATCCCAGCACTTGGGCACAACAGGCAAGAAGACCAGGACTTCTAGGCCTGCCTCTCTCTGCTACATGGACAATCCAAAGCCAGTCTGGCCTACATGAGATTTTATCAAAAACAAAAATAAAACAAAACCACACACAAATAAGAAAACTAAAGGAGCTGGGCGGTGGTGGTGCACACCTTTAATCCCAGCACTCGGGAGGCAGAGGCAGACGGATCTCTGGGAGTTCGAGGCCAGCCTGGTCTACAAGAGCTAGTTCCAGGACAGCCTCCAAAGCCACAGAGAAACCCTGTCTCACCCCCCCCAATACTAAAGGATGCACAGGATTATGGGTAGAAATTTTCTTATTATTTAAACAAAAAGAAAAATCATTTCCATATAAAATTATAACTGCCTATGGTTAGAGAAAAAGCAATACAAGAAGGCAGTTAAAATATACTGGTGTACTTACTGAAGAGTGTGTTTTATACATTTTAAGAATTAGTCACAGCAAAAAGGACGAATGCCGTCCCCCACTATCCCAAATTACGAGGTCGAGTTTCTCACACTGGGTCCAGCAAACCCAGATGCAATGGATGAGCCTCACCCTGGGAAAACCCCGGCATCTCTTCCCCAGATAAATATGTGTTTCTTTGATTTTTTTAACTTATGCTCTATTTTATTCCAATTATTTTCTAATCAAATGAAATGTAAGATTAACGTTTTGTAAGCATCTAATCTGAAAGATTACAGACTTTTGGCTTCTGGGGTGAAGGAGTAAGTGGGTTTGAACATTAATTAGAAGGGTGGAGGGAAGCAATTAGCTTATGGAATTAACTGGAACAAATGCGTAGCCTCCAGGGAAGAGCCTGTGGGCAGCTGGTGTCTGTCTCTCCTACCAATATCATCTGGGAGGCTGTAAGGCTGTAAGACTGCAGACCCCTAGACTCCACCCAGGTGACTCTGCAACCAGCGCACACACACTTGAGAAACAGACACCAGCTGGTTCTGGGTACGTTTGTGATCAAAATAGCTTCGCCTCTTGTGGCACTTGTACAGAAAGTCTTTAGAAACAGGGTACTACACGTACTTGAGGAATGAGCCAATTGTCAAGTGTCGAGAAGTGCTGACCCTTAGATGGACCCTTCAAATGTACTAAGTTTAAAGGGGGGGGTGAAATAAAGAGAAAAGAAAGGGAGAGAGAGGAGAGAGGGGGCAGGGGAGGACACGGACACAGCAGGTTGCAAATGAGGTGTCTTTAGCACTATGGACCCCAGGAAGCTCCGAGAGCCCTTTCTGGAGGTCTGAGCCGCCTACCGTCACGGGATCCTCCAGGAGTGTGTCCATCTCGCTGAACTTCAAGTACACGTTTCCCCGGCAAACTCTCCACAGCAGTCTCTCGAAGGAAGTCATCCTCTCCCTGTGAATCACGCCAGCCGTGAACCTGGACCGCAGGAAGAGACACCACTGAGGTACGGGGCCTCCAGGAGGGGTAATGGGAGCTGCTCACAGACCACACAGCCCAGCCCCAACCTGCCCACATTTTGTTGCTTTGTCTGTTTCTTCAATATTCTGTGTCCTTAATCATTGCAATTCTAGCCGGGCGTTGGTGACGCACGCCTTTAATCCCAGCACTCGGGAGGCAGAGGCAGGCGGATCTCTGTTAGTTCGAGGCCGGCCTGGTCTACAGAGTGAGTGCCAGGACAGCCTCCAAAGCTACAGAGAAACCCTGTCTCGGAAAAAAAAAATCTATACATATAACATTATATGCTATATAATACCATGTATATTTATATACATACAATATATATACTATAATATAATAAGACCATTCCTATGGTGGTGAAGCCAATGGCGGTCCATGTTCAATGGTCTCTGCACACCTTTATTTTAAAAATCAATGTATTAAGAAGCATACACTGATGTCCAAGAATCTGTTTTTACAGCTTCCTGGTACTTAAATGGCTGCTGGCTTAAACATCTAACACGGTCCTCAAAATGCAACTTTGCAATGGCTTATTACTTTAGATGACATTGATCATTCATTGCTATTGCGTGAAATATTTACATAAATACCATCTTCTTTCCATTCCAAGTTTGTTTTTTGTTTGGTTTTGAAGAAAGGGTTTCTCTATGTAGTCCTGACCTACTGTAAGGATTCAGGCATTATGCTGGCCTGCCCCTGTCACCTGGCAGAATGCCCTCAGGCAGTACCCTGGTCAGCCCAGGTGCAAAGGACTCCTTTAAAAGAAAGACCTTCACCCACTTAAACGCTCTCTTTCCCGTGGTTCCCTTGGGGTAGGCAGGACTTTTCCTGTCTCCCTCTTCTCGTCTGTCTGTCTCTTTACCTCATTTCTCTTTCCTTCCCCTCCCTCCCTCTCTAGTAAAACTTCTCACTTAAACTCTTTGTCTGTCTGTCTGTCTGTCTGCCTGGTGTGTTTGTCTCCTGCCTCAGCCAACCTCGCCTGCCCAGGAGTCCACCAAGTTTCCCCTCAAGCTTTATCATAACACCTGGAACTCGCTCTGTAGACCAGGCTGGCCTGGAACTCACAGAGATCTGCCTGCCTCTGCCTCCAGAGTGCTGGGATTAAAGGTGTGCACCACCATACCCAATTCCATTTTAAATTTCAATAGGCTAATAAAAATCCATTGAATAAAAAATTAGGGACTTGCAGCCACAATGTTCACAAATGTTTTAAATTTCACCAACCTCATTTAAATACTAAATGCAATCCTATTTTGGATCACCACATGTTGTCATGAGTATCACATGTCATTTCTACCACGGTCTGCTTGACTCTGTCTTTTCTAATGACATTTGAAAACTCCAAATATCCTTTACCAAACATAAAGGAGGAAAAAAGTACCTTTCTCCTAGCTTTGTCCCAAAGCTAAGGAAGTCACAAATACTGGGCCCATATCTGCCCCACATGGGAGTCCTGTACACAGGCACTCTCCAAGCTGAAGCCATGAATTTAATCATGAACAACGGTCACTCCCTGGCTCACTTCAGCAGCCTTGTAGAGTACCCCTGGATCTGTCCCTGTGTGAAAGCAACAGTTCCACACCCAGGAGTTCCTCACTCACCGATTCATCCTTCAGTTCAGGGAGATTTATCAGACACCAGGCATCAAGCCACGAACCAGGCAGCCAGCCACACACAACTCTTAGGACATGGAGTTATACTAACCCCAACTTTCCAGTCATGAACGCAGGTATGGCTCTTAACTCCAGGAGACCCGAAGTGTCTTCCACAAAGAAATCATCAGCTAAATTGGTTTCTGTCTGAAAGACAAAGCACCAGCCCTGTCTTTAAACACAGGGACCTTAGAAGGGCCCGGACCTCATGCTTTGCTCTGTTTCTCAGGAAGCTTTGGTGCCCACAATCATCATCAGAGGTGAACAGGCAAAGAGCCCCCACCACCAAATCAGGGCAAAAACCCTCAAGCCTTCTCACCCCAACCCAAGTCTGATCAAACCCCCTCCCCCTTGTGCTGATCCCCTTTCTCTTGGGCCAACTTTAGTTTTCTTGTTGAGACATATAGTTCTCTCACTACGTCGCCCTGACTGGCACAGCTGCCTCTGTGTCTCAAGGGCTGGTGTTATAGGCCTGTGCCACCATGCCTGGCCTGAGCGCCCTCATCTATTTATTTATTTACTTATTTATTTATCTGTTTGCATTCACTTGAATGAGAATCGCTGCTGGAGTACTCCCCGCCTCACTGATAGCCTGGTCGTGGGCCAAGAAGCATAGTATTTCACCCACAATCCAGAGCAGCCAGTTTTCAAGATAGACTCTTGGGGTGCTGGGAAAAGGACCCTTCATTAGCCCATCCCCAAGAAAACACCTCAAAAAAGTCCTGGGTTTTCTTTAGGAGGTATTTGAGTTCTGTCAGCTCCAGAAAGCTCTTCTTCAACGCCTGCTGGTTCTGGTTGGCTTCCTGTAGCTCTCCTTCCAATTTCTCTAGCGTGTTCTGTGCGAGGGAGGAAAATATAAGCCGGGTTAAAAGGCCTGTGACCCTTGTGCTACACTTTAACCATAATAAATAACTAGACACCAAAGAGGCAGTCCCCGTGTCAAAATACAGCAGATGCCGAGCACTGCAGTCAGCTGTAAATTAAGTATTCTTGGAGGGAAAGCCAGGCGAACACTGTCCAGAGGGTCATCATCTGCCGGGGACAATTCAAAAGCACTCTGAGGGATGGAAGACAGTTCATGAGGAAGTCATGGTGTCTTGTCCCCTTTTAAACCCCCAAAGTAAAAATATTTTTCAGAGACAAGGTTTCTCTGTATTGCTTTGGAGCCTATACTGTCACTCGTTCTGTAGACCAGGCTGGCCTCAAACTCACAGAGATCCGCCTGCCTCCGCCTCCCAAGTGCTGGGATTAAAGGCGTTCCCACCAATGCCCGGTAAGATAAAGTAATTGGGAATTCATTCTGCCCAAACAAACTGTAATGATGGTTAAAACACAAAACAAAGTATTCTCTCCTCCCCCACAACCCCCAAAGATCTATATGGATCTGAAGAGCCAAATTGGAGTAAGAGATAAGAGGCTACAGAGAAAGGTGAGGAAAAAACAGCAAGAAGAGAGAACCAAGTCAAAAAAACCAGTAACAAAAACAAAACAAATTTATTCTCCCAAATGAGCACAAAAGAACAAAGCTTGTGCCAGTGCGTATCTTTAACCCCAGCACTCAGAAGGCAGAGGAAGAAAGGAAGGAAGTCAGGAAGGGAGGGAGGGAGAGAGAGAGAGAGAGAGAGAGAGAGAGAGAGAGAGAGAGAGAGAGAGAGAGAGAGAGAGAGAGAGAGAGAGAGAGAGAGAGAGAGAGCTAGAGACATGGCTCAGTGGTTAAGTGCATTTACTGTTCTTGCAGGGGACCAGAGTTCAATCCCAAGCACCCACATCCATCTCTAACTCACAACCATCTCTGACTCCTTCCCAGGAGGCCTGATGCCCTCTCTTCTGACCTCCATAGGCACCAGACTCTCACATGGTACAGAAGTATATGCAACCAAAATTTTAACTCAATGGAGAAAGCACTTTATATTTAAGAAAAGCACTGCAACTATGGAAAAGGATTCACTTCAGAAACAATGTTGACTCTTAAAGGTTAGAACAAGGGATGGAGGCCTGATGAGATGGCTCAATGGTCAAGCTTTTTTTTTTTTTTTTTTTTAGTGTGGATTATGAGGAATCTACTCAGGTCCCGGTGTTTTCGAAGCAAACACCCTACCAACTGAGACATCTCCCCAGCCTCCAACCATGTGATGAGTGGTAAACTTAAGATCAGAGTCAGGAACCGTGACTAGTGAAAATAGCCTAGGATCCCCTGTCTCCAAAGTGTGGTTTCTCTGCAACCCTTGCTGGGGACTTGAAGGCAGGAGACTCTGCAACTCCAGGTCATCTTCAGCTGTGTGGCCAAGTTGGAGGTCAGCCTATGAGACCCCAGTCCCAAAAAACTACAAAGCATGCACAAATAAAAAGACTGCCATCCTAAATATCTGTAAACCTATGCAAGAGAGAGATTTACCAAAGAGAGATTTAAAAGTAAACCGTCAGGAAGGATATCCAGGGGGCTGGAGAAATGGCTCAGTGGTTAACAGCACTGGCTGCCCTTACAGAGGACCTGGGTTCAGTTCCCAGCACCGACATGGTGGCTCACAACCATCTGTAACTCCAATTCCAAGCGAAGAACCAAAGCCATCTTTGTCCTCCGTGGGCACCAAGCACACACATGGTGCACATACACACGTGCAGGCAACACTCATACATATAAATACACCTTATTTTAAAAAAGAAAGGCTGTCCATACGAATGTTGCCCTCCCCTGGACCCCCTGAAAACAAGTGTATAACGTCAGATAAAACCGAATATTTTGTTTGGAGCCGTGAGCCTTGGAATGTGCCTGTCTCAGCACAGCTGAAGATTTTACAGAACAGTCAATTAAACCAATCAGCTCACATTGAGCCCAGCTGGATGAACTTAAAAAAAAAAAACTGAAAAGAGCCAGCTCACAAACTCTTCCTTCATGCCGGGCCCATAACTGGAAAACATCCCATCCCACCCACACTGGCCCATTCAATCCGTCCGATGGCACCACACAGATAAGGCTTCACTGCCTGTGAGGAACTCCTGTGCACAAGAGAAATTTCTCCTCAAAGTGGGGTGAGCTTGCTCAGAGCAGTGTTGAGAAAGGAAAACAGTCTCCCTCCCCCAATGGGCATAAGAGGCCCTAAAGTCATACCCTGGGGTTTTCCTAGGGCAGCATCTTACGGTCTCTTGGCTGTGATGATGAAACTCCAGGACCAAAAGCAACCCAGGAAGGGAAGGGTTTCTTTGAGCTTACAGTCCCACATCAAGTCCCTCACTGACGAGTCAAGGCCGAACTCAAACAGGGCAGGAAGCTGAAAGCAGGAGCTGATGCAGAGGCCATGGAAGAGTGCTGCTTTCTTATTGGCTTAGTCCTCACGGCTTGCTCAGCCGGCTGTCTTATAGAACCCAGGACCACCGGCCCAGAGATGGCCCCACCCACTATGGGCTGGGCCCTCCCCTGTCAATCACTAATCAAGAAGATGCTCTATAGGCTTGCTTACAGCCCCATCTTACAGAGGCATCTTCTCAGCTGAGGCTCCCTTTTCTCAGATGGCTCCAGCTCACGTCAAGTTGGCATAAAACTGGCCGATGCAGGCACGAAGTAACCCAGAAAGGGACTATCACCTTCTTGTTCACATGTAAAGGCTGTGGAAGCCGCTTGAGCATCCTCCGCTGGGGAGACGGTAAAGCGAAGCTCTTACCTCCAGGGTGATCATTTCTCGGGGGAGAGGAGTCTCCGGGTTCTTCTCCGGCATCTGGACTATAATCTCGTTTTGCATTTCATCTTCCAGAAAACCTGAAGGAGAGCACAGGTGACGGTGACTTCCCAGAACACGGAAGCGGGGGTCCAGCAGTACAGGAGCCTCCAGCCAGCTGAGCTATCTGGGCTGCTCTGGCTCCCCCCCCCCCCCCCGCAACCTCCGGTACCCTTTGTCTTGGGGTCACCTTAGAAAGCATTACACATGGCCGAGAACTGTGCCAAGCAAGCGTGCTAATGAAGTTCTACAAACTAGTTACCTCTTTTGGTTCACCTTTGGGCAATAAGGGGAAAGGGGCTTACGGAGGATTCGCTCCAGGGACTCGCACCTTCGGACTTCATTCACAAACTTCCTCTGGAAGCTGTTCACATTTGCATTTAGCTGCAGGAGAGGGGAGCCACAGGCTTGCATTAGGGGGCTGCAGCTACATCACCGCATTACCTTCCTGATGCTGGTGATTGTTGCTCGGAATGGGTTAGGAATAAAAATGGCTGTGCAAGAGACATGAGTTGCGTGCAAGCTGCGCCTTCCATTCCTACACTCCTCAGTGGGGTGGGAATATGAGGGAACCTTGAACACTGTATGAGTCTAAAGAGTGCTTCCTGGCCATCAACAAGAATCCAACCTTTGCTGTGGGTAACTCTCAGCTTAGCCAAATAAATGGTCGGTATAGAGAGGACTCAGTGATTAAGAGCACTCGCTGGTCTTCCAGTTAGGTTTCCAGCACCCAAGTCAGGCAGCTCACAGCCATGTAGAAAATCCAGCTCCAGAGGATCCGATGCCTCTGGCCTCAGGAGCACCAGCACACACACACCACACACACACACACACACACACACACACACACACACACACACGCCTACTTGTGATAAAAATAAAATCTTTAAAAAAAATGTTAGTGAGGACTGGTCTCTCTGGTCGGGTGCCACGCTAACTAGCAACACAAAGGACAAGATCTGGGCTTCCTACTGGGGAGCAGAGGTTTGACTTTGACCTTGGTGAGGAAATAAAGAAGGACTGATTTTCTAAATTGGACTCGGTAAAAGCAGCATTGCCTCTAGTCTGACTAGTCAGGGAAAATAGATTCTGTATTCGTTTTGAAAATTGGCAATTCTGTCTTCACTGCCAGCACGTGAGGATTCTATACAAGAACTGAAACACCCAGCCACTGAACTGCAGCTTCCAAACATTCCTGGAGAAGACACGGGAGGAATAACATGACCGACAGTGATCGGCTGAGGGCCAGGAGAAATCGTAGCCGGAAGGTCAGGGCCACGGAATTACACTACCCTAGCTCTGAACTCCTCTTCTAGAAGAATGTGTTTTGTTGATTACCCAGAAGCATTGTGCAAGGGCTATCTATTGCCGCCCCCACCTTCCTCTTATCTCCAAAGAATGCAGCACCTACATCTTTGAACTGAACCAAGCCAAGCTCTCCCAGCTCAGCTACACAGCAATACGCAGCCTCCACCTGGAGAAACACTTGGGATAAACACATCTCCTCGCTTCGAAACACAGATGCCATGTTGGCCCAGCCTTAGTCTGAAGGGGAAAAAAAGAGAGAGATTGAAGGTAATAAATACATGAAAATCTTAACATGATTTAAGTTAGGATAAAAAAATCAGGACTGGGCTATAGCTCAGTCATAGAGTACTGACATAGCATGTATGTTCAATGACCCTGTCTAGTTCAATCCCCAATGCCCAGTACACCACACACACATACACAGACACAGAGAGAAAGAGGCAAAGACAAATAAATAAACCAACATTAACAAACCCAAATTGATTAAAAAAAAACCCAAATTGAAACCTGGGAAGACCAATTTGATGCCAATGCATTCCAAAGTGTGGCATGTGATGCTTGTGACTCAACATCCCCCTGCCTCCAAACATTTATCATGGGCCTGGGTTGCTCGGTGGAGAAAGGCACGTGCCATCTGGTCTGATTTAACTCACTTCAATCCCAGAAACCAGAAAGCAGAGGGAGAGAGCCGGGTGCTTAGCGAGCGCCTTTAATCCTAGCACTAGGGAGAGGCAGGGGGATCTCTGAGTCTATAGAACCAGGGCTACACAGAGAAACCTTGTCTTGAAAAACAAAAGCCATCACCAACAAAACGCGCGCATGCATGTGCGCGCGTGCACACACACATACACTATATGCAGAGAGAGAGAACAAACTTGCAAAGGAGTTCAATGAGCCCCAAAGTTTTCACTAGATAACACATCAGGTTCAGACCTAGGAGGGTCCCCTAGACACACACACATACACACACACCACACACACACACACACACACACACACACACACACACACACACACACACACACACACACTCCCGTCACATTTCTGCCTCATTGCCTACCTCATCTTACCCCATGGCCCAAGCAGGCAGCTTCTAAGGTTTGTAGGTCCAGGACTCCAGCCCTAAGGTCCTCAGCCTCCCTTTCTCCCTGGCTGGCAAACAGCCATCCCCTTTTCTTGTTTCCACGTGACCCCCAGGGCCTGGGGTCCCAGATCCCTCCCTGACTCCTCTGAACAGCTCTGAACTCAACTGCAGAGACTGGGGGGTCTACCTCATGGCTTCTCAAGCCTTGACCGTCCCCATGGTTCCATTCATGAGAGACACCCTCCCCCAACTCTCTTCCTCCTGGACTCCACGTCCAGGCCTCCCAGGCTGATGCCTTTGGGTCTGGAGAATCTAAGCATGACCTCCTCACACACAATCTTCTGTGTCCCTAGACCATCACCAGCTGTTTTGTAATTATGTACCCCTTTCCCAACGCCCTCTCCCAAACCCTTCCCTAGAACTCTTCTCCTGAACCTTTAGGGTCCATACCCCACATACACACACCACACACTCATGAAAACAGAATAGCCACAGTGCCCAAGGCACTGATTTCCATTAGTGTCCCTGTTGGAGCAGAGGGCGAGGGGGGGGGGGACTTTCCTGGGTTAGGAAGGAAGGCCAAGACACTTTCCAGCGGCTGCCTGAAGTTGATGTGGGAGCAGGTAGGTGGCGGCCTGGCCACGGCAGGCTGGTTTCCCACGGGGGCCCCAGAGCACCCCATTGCTTCTCTTGTCTTCCTCCCAGTCACCCTAGAAAACCAGCAGCCCTCTCACACAGGTTCCACTTCCTAACACAGGTCCACAACCCGCCAGACCCCGGGGCCAGTGTCCCAGCAGGGTCGAGTCTAAAGCCCCGTGAGCAGGCTGAGTTAGAGGCCCCAGATGTGGCGTCCGTCTGCTCAGATTCCTGTTTCACTCTCCTCCCTCTCCAGACATCTGTACTTATTTTCTCCCTGATCCTGACTTGCCTCGGGACCTTTGCGAATGCTCCCCCTCCACCCCATCCCACACCCCACATAACCCTTCATCCCCCCATTCTTCCTGACTGCCCTGCTTGGCAGGTGCCCTGGATCTCCACTGGCCAGCAAAGTCCTGAGGCTGGGAGCATCCCATCAGTGTAGCATAGAGTGAGCCCAATATTAATCACAAAGTAACTGGCACAAACGATGCCCTCACTTATTTCTTGTCCTTACCCTCCGCCCCAGAAGTCCACCAACTGGAGCTGCACTTTTTGATCACTGAAATGAATCAGAAAGCTTTTGCTGTTGTTTTGTTTTTTATTATGCTGTCTGATAAACGAGACCACGTGTTCACAAAACCGTAAGACATCAGCTTCATGTAGACCAAAAGGCAAAAGACCTTTCTCACCTGAGTTTCCTTGAAGCTGGTTCTGGGTGGGGGGGACCCACTCCCCAAATCCTGGAGCAGGGGTGCCCAGCAGCAGCAGAGGCAGCAGCAGCAACGGCCGGCCACAATCAATTGTGGCTTTCAAGTGGCCCCCGAGCGAGCCCGGTGGCAGGGAGGCTGCCTAGCCTCTCCCCCTCCACACACGGTCTCAGCTCTCTCCCCAGAGGCCGCTCTGTTGTATCAACATATCCTGCAGTGGGTGAGCTCAAACCTGCCACACCGGCCAGCCCTGCTCCACCCCAGCCCCACCTGGGCTCCGCCCTCAGCAGCGACATTGAGTCCCCACTGCCAAGCAAGAACGCAGTCCTCTAAGGGGATAACTTGCCCCTCAGGGAACTGAGGTTGGGGACAAGGTTTCCAGGGGTCTTAGAAGGGCGAGACAGCAGGCTAGTTCAGCCCCTACCCGAATCAAAACACGCCTTCAGTCTCAAGCACGAGGAGGCTGGGTGTGGCTTACTGATAGAGCACTTGCCTAGCACGTAGGAGGTCCTGGGTTTGAGTCCAACACTACACACAACAGTAAGAATGAAATAGCATTAAGAAGTGAACAAAGTGCCTCATTCACTGTCCTCTTAAGGACTTCCGCAGACATTCCCCAGGCACACTGCATTTCTAAAGGCGGAGGTACAGGTGAAGCCTTGGAATAGCCCAGCCCATGAAGTCCAGCTTCCCAAGTGGCCAGGTTAGGAGTGCTGCTGGGTAATGAGAGGAAGAGAACAAGTCAAGAGATCTTTCTGGGCTCAGAGGCTTCCTCTGCAGCAGCCACCTGCCGGCCTCGAGACCAATGAAGTTTCCAGAACGGCTTTTCCAGCTGGTTGGGTGACAGTTCTCTTCCTGTACCCACCTAGGGTCCCTGTAAAATGTGCCCACTGAGTCCTCAAAGGAGAGGTGGTTTTCGGTTGTTTCCCCCATTTTCTGGTGTGTGTCTGCGTGTGTTTTGTTGAGACAGGGTCTCAAGCAGCCCAGGCTGGCCTAGAATTTACCATGTAGGAGATTTTCTGATCCTCCAGCCCCTACCTCCCCAGTGCTGGGATTACAGGCTAAGCTACCACCCCTGTTTCATGTGATGCTGGAACTGAACCCATGGCTTCATGAACACTAAACAGGGACTCAGCCGTCTGAGCTACACCCCAGCTCTCTTGTGTTCACTGTTTCTCACAGAAAACATTTAAATATCTGTCAGAGCTGAAAGACTAGTTCATAAAGGGCCTTCCAAATGCATGTCATTCAACTTCAGCAATTCAAATTGTGTGTCATCTAAACTCCGAGCTCCTCTAATTATTAATACTTGGAAGTTAATACCATATATTATATAATTTCTTTCAAAAAAGCTGTCAATATGTCATATCTTTAAAAGATAAAGATTCTTTCATACACACAAAGTCATGATCACCCCTCAAGTTCGATGATAATCCCTTCATATCAAATATCTTACCAGGGATGTCTGCATTAGTTTTGACTGTCAGCTTGACACAGCCTAGAATCACCTGGGAAGTTAGTAATCCCACTGGTCAAGAATAAGACCACTGCCACAGTTTAAAGCCAAATCTGAATCAAGCTTTAATTAAACACTGGCTAGGTGGATGGGCTCCGGCCAGGTTTACACTCAGGAAATGGTCCCAAATCGAGTTGTGCAGGGTCTTAAGAAGGAAAACCCATAACTCACCACATTTCCCATAAGGTCCAATCAGGGGAAGAGTACACCCTGACATATTTCCTGCCCGCGTACCTCCCACCCACATGTGCTCAAGCACATCCAATGCAGATGGGCCAAACAAACTTGTTTAGGTGAAAGAAAACATGTAGCTTTTTTTTTTTAATCTCCCATGAATAATAGACTCCAGCATTACAGGAACTCTCTGTCCTTGGTCAAGGGGCTTGCAGATCAGAGGCATTTTGTTTTATGGCTTTTGAATGCATAGTAATTAAAACATTAAAACGTAACTTTGGGCCAGGAGGTGGTACTACACACCTTTAGTCCCAGCACTTGGGAGGCAGATGCAGTTGGATCTCTGTGAGTTCAAGGCCAGCCTGGTCTACAGAGGGAGTTCCAAGACAGCCAGAGCCGTTACACAGAGAATCCCTGTCTCGAAAAGCCAACCAACCACCAAACAACAACAACAAATATACCTTTGTTTCTCACAAAGAAGAATTATTAATTAGATAAAGTTAGCCTGTGGGCATATCTAGGGGATGTCTTATTGACATAAGCAGACCTAGCCCATTGTGGGTGGTACCATTCCCTAGGCAGAGAATCTTAAACTACACGAGACAGGAAAAAGCTAGACAAAAGCAAGCAAGTGTGCATTTATTCTATTTCCGCTCTTGACTGTGGATGTGATATGATTGGCTGCTTGAGCTGCTGCCCTGACTTCCCCAAAATGACTGACAGGAACTTGGAAGCGTGTAAGCACAATAAATCATTTCCGCCTCTACGTTCTTTTGTTTGTTTATTCGTCAATTGTTGTTTTATTCCCACAGTCACAGAAATGAAACTAGCGGGATATCTGAGACTTGGATATTTAGTGAGTCACTCAGTCCCATGATCCCATAACATGGTCCAGTTGGTACCATTTTCTGAGAGCCATGACAAATGGAACTTATTTCAGGAGGCAGCAGGGAGGGAGGACAATGTGTGGAAAGCTTGAGAAGGCTGAGGAGAAGCCGGGCTTTCTAACTGGAAGCATTGGAACTGTGACTCTGAGAGAACAAACAGCCTATGCTAAGGCCTGGGAAAGGGACACTGAGGCTTGAGAGGCAGAACTTGACCATACCCTCTGTGGCAGGTTGAGTAAGAATACACTGAGGCTTGAGAGGCAGAATTTGACCGTACCCTCTGTGGTGGGTTGAATAAGAATGCCCCCCATGGGCTCATATGTTTGAGTGCTTGGTACCCAGTTGGAACCCTTTGGGACAGATTTGGAGGTGTGGCCTTGTTGGCAGTGGCGTGTCACTGGAGGTGGGCTGTGAGGTTTCACAGGTCCATGCTAGGCCCAGTTGGTTCTCTCTCTCTCTGACTTGTGCTTGTGAATCAGATGTGAGCTCTTAGCTACTGCTCCAGCACCATACCTGCCTGCCTGCGATGGTCATGAACCCTATGGAACCATGAGCCCCGAATTAAATTCTTTCTTTTATTTTTTTATGAATTTATTTATCTACTATATGTAGTGTTCTGCCTGCATGTTTGCCTGCAGGACCGAAGGGGGTACCAGATCTCATTACAGATGGTTGTGAGTAACTATGTGGGTGCTGGGAATTGAACTCAGGACCTTTGGAAGAGCAGCCAGTGCTCTTAACCTCTGAGCCATCTGTCCAGCCCAATGCTTCCTTTTATAAGTTGCATTGGTCATGGTGTCTCTTTGTGGCTGTAGAAAAGTAAGTAAGACACTCTTCTGCCCCTCCAGGACAGAAATGTTCATAAGCCAAACTCAGTGGGACAAAATCCCCAAACTGAGGTCAGAATTTGTAAAACAGAACAGTAAGATGCAAGCTGAAATCCATGAGGAGTCAGAGTGGCTGATGCTGTTACCCTTGGAGTGTTAAACTAGCAGCACCCTTCAGGTTGTAGAAAATGCAGTGTGAGAACCACCAGCTACAGAGAATGGAAGAGATCGTTAGGTAAGAGCTTAGGGAGGGGCTCCCTCAGGAGGTGGCACTTAGACTGGGGCTCGGAAGAGTAAAAAAGAGGCAGTTTGCTGGGCAGACATGGTGGACATGGGGGTGCCCACACAGAGTCCCAGCATTTGGGAGGCAGTGATGGGAGGACCTAGAGTTCCTAGCCTGTGTGAGCTACAAAGCAAGGTCTTATCAAACACACACACACACACACACACACACACACACCTGTGCTGAGGTCACCCTTGGGTGGGCCTTCTTCATGGGCTTCCTCCCTCCCCTCCCCAATTCAGAGACCAATTTGCCTCTTTCCCTAATTTCCTTCTCAATTGTTTGCTGGTTTCGGTTGTCGGGCAGGGGTGGGAGGTTGTTTTTTTACTTGTTCAGACAGGGTCTCTATATGTAGCCTTGGCTATCCTGTAACTCTCTCTGTAGAGCAGGATGGCCTCCATTTCACAAGCCCCCTGCTCTGCTCCCAAGCATCAGTTTCTAAAATTATATTCCTTCCAACCCCCCGACCATCCAGCCCAACCTGCCACTGTATACAGTCAAATATACAGTCATTTCTTCTGCCAATCGAGACGCACAACCAGATAAACTGTCCGAATCTCTCCCCACTGAGAACTGCCTTCACTGCTGTCCTCCAAGGATGCTCCAGAGAGAGGCTACTGTATGGTAGCTGTCCGTTTTAAGGTGCTGTTACCTTCGTACTCTGTCTGTGGGCTATGGGGGAATTTACCATGAGGCCAGACACACAGGCCGGAGGAAGAAGGCAGCGCAGGAGCGTGCTGACCGTGGGCGTTAGGGTCGCCTCCTCGTCCCGTAACCTACGAGTCTTCAGTGCTTGCTGAGGTCCACTCACCACTCCCCTTTGACGGCGGAGTCTGTGTACACGCCCAGCTTTACAACCTGATAGGTCAGATGACACACAGTTCATGATGGGCAGTTAACTAACTGGTGCCTCGTGGGTCAAGAGGAGGCATCAGTGTCTGCTAAGGCCCAGAAGCAGGCTAAGGGCTGTTTCTCTCAAGGAAAGTGCTTTTTCTGTGGACAATGGCAGGGTTTTGCCACCAGTCCTAAGACCCTCCACCCTAGCTCCTCTTTAGGGAACCTTCAAAAGTTCCAAATAGCTCTC